ATAGTTTTGCAGAAAGTGGGAAGGGCATGCCATTTTTAACGAAATGTTGCACTTTCCTTGTTCTCCCAATTATCAAAATGATTTACACAAAATTGCATTGGGCTGATTGTTTTCCTTCGCCATTTTAGTTTGCCCTCTTCTGAAAACATGCCTTGGCTCAACCGCGCTTGTTGGTTCTCACATATTTTAATAATTGAGCAACGCACACAGTACGGTGTTTGTCTTTGATCGTCGGGGACCCAAAAAATATCAAACACTTTTTATCTCAGAATTTTTCGTTCGCGATAAAAATCTGTGACAATTCCTTGCCGCACATTGCACGATTTTTCCTCGCAACAATAAAAATCGTATGTATCACATATAAAATTCTACAGTATGCGCTAGGAATTGATAGCACTGTTCTTTATATTTGGGTTTAGACTTTGTGACTGTAAACGGTCACTTTAAGTGGAGTGGCTAGCTGTGATTATAAGCTGTATTGTATGGTATTGAGGTTACGGTACACTTTTTGCTGCTCTGCCATGCTTATAATACAGATAGATAGCCGTGATCTTCTCGACAATGAGAGGGCTATGCTGCAACCCCATGAAATAACAAACCTTTCCAATGAAGCTTTACTGCAAATAATTCTTAATGGCCATGAAAAATTATCTTTGAATTTAAATACAAAAGTTTTTGAGGCAACATTAAAATATTTTCAGACCTATGAAAGGCTTCATTAGGTAGTTCTATAAATTTTCTCTCCAATGTAATTTGTCTTTTGTTATACTTGTATTGTTTTTGTCAATTTATGTTGTCTTTGTTTTTGCTCTAACCTCCAAATTATTAGTATTTTTTTGTTATCAGTAATCTGTAACATGTAATTTGCAACATTTAATGTAGGCTAACTCTAATTTCAAGTAAACATGTTAATGTAATGGTCACAGGGTATGTATTTCACATGCTCCTTGTGGCATCGTCTTGTAGTCTATCTGTTTTGTAAAACTTTATGAGAATACTTAAAAAAATAAGCTGTATATAGGTAACTACACTCATGCTAGACTTGGGACATACTGGATGCATAATTTGTAAGATCATGGGATTGAAATTTCTTTTATTTTTGAAGGTTCTGGATGTACAAGAGTTTCATTTAACAGTTCCAATAATAATTGATTAAATCTTAATATTTCATTCAAAAAATCTGAGCTTTGCTCTATCTTTCTCCATACATCTCAGTAGCTAATCTCTGCAGGTTTTGTCAGTGTATTGTTATAGCATGATTTTTCGCTAGATCTTCAAACGAGAACTGAAGTCATCAGATGATGTTTTTAGTTCTCTTTTGTGGACATCATAAATAAATTTCGGCTACAAAGCATTCAGAAAATTTGACAGTAAATAAAAAAAGGTAATGCTAAATGTTTGCATTAGTAAATCTCTCTTTTCTTCATTTGAATAAGGAGCTATTCTTGCAAGAGCTTCGACAAAATCACCTTTTTCCGGCTTCACAACAAATTCAAACTGAATATAAGTTGATTGTCGCGCACTATTACAAGTAATTTTTCTTCCTCTTAACGTTTGATTAAAAATTCCAAAATCTTGATTCATCATCTTCACACTCTGACCTTTGTAGTCCTATAATCATAAATTGGTATGTCTTTCGTTATTTAGAAATATGCCATTATATCAAAACAATTTGCTCAATGTGCTGATATCCGTTCAAGGATTGGGGTTATATTGTTAATTAACTAACCTTCTATTCAAACTTGACTATAATCAGCATAATTGCATGTCACATTGGTGTTAAGAATTAAAAGAACATGGTTTAGTAAAATGTTAAAGAGTAAGGGCCCCAACACTGATTCTTGTGGAGCCACTTGACGATATCTCTCCATTCACGTTGGCTAGAGTTTAGTTTTACATTTTCAAAAACAAAATATATGCATCTTCTTCATATTTCATTAAATTTTACAAGGTCATATAAAACATTGTAGTGTTAAATGGACGTTGCAAACTAATTTGATCTCATTCAGGGTTTCAACTATTAGAAAATATGTATTTAGAAAAGTCTTTAATTTTTAAGAAACTCTTATTGATTCTGCCATTGCTACTCGATGTTTTTCGTGCTGGTTAGTCTTCGCTATTTCCACCTTCATTTGATTTTGTCTCACAGAATAAATACTGCTGCCATATATAGTAAGTTCTATCGAAAGTTTGAAAATCTTTGCTAGTTACTAAATGTTTCTTCTTTGTCAAACGTTATAACTGGAATATCAGTAAAATTCATCAAAAAAAAATAAAATATAGATAAGTTGAAACATCTTTTTAGTTGTTTTCGTTATGATCTAAAGGATATTCTAAAGACGATGTTCTATGGCTTTTGTTGCTAAACAGAAAAAGTGAGTAATAGCTTGAAAACACGCCTTTAGATAGATATCTTTTTGATAAATTTTTTCATCCAGGTAGCGTAGCTATTTCGATGTATAACTTCCTGTGCGTCAACAAGTTTAAACACTTTTCCACAACTTTTCTTTCAGTGGGTCAAACGGTTCCTTTACAGCTAAATGTATTGAAAAGCGTGCTTGACAAAGGTCTATCCTTGAGCTTCTTTCCTCTTTGTGGACGCCAAAAAATTTGTTAGAATGGCTATTAGATATATAATCTCTTTATTTCAACAATGCACATTTTATCGCTTCCAGTAGAATGTTGCAGTTGCGTAGATTCACAATTTCTATTCAAAATCCAAACATGCCATTAAATATGAAACATTTCAACAGCCTGTTCCAACTTGGATAGAAGACAAAACTACTTTTTGAGGTATGCATGAACGACTGTTGTCGACTTGGTCTGTTTCACCATTAGCCATGACTTCAGCATGTCGTAATGTCGGGAGGAGGGGAAGATGGAGGAGAGGTTTGGTCGACAGAGAAGTGAGACAGCAGCTGATTCTCACATCTCAATACTCTGTTGTAAAAATAATGAATATGGTGTATGTATGGGGCTGCAGTTAGGGACGGTCAGTCTAAATAGGTTTTGATTGGCCCAAGGTCTTCAAAGTGAGCTTGATGGTCCTAAAGATGGATATTCAGGACTAAATGTACAAAACTGGGTCCCCTGACTATTTTTTGAGAGACTGAAGGGTGTAAAACACTTTTTTAAGTATCAAAGATGAAATTTGGGCCTAAACGATAGTTGTGTTTTCTCGAGGTCAAGTTTTGAGACTTGAAATAATCTAGATGATAAATGGAAATATCCACCTCTAGAAGCAAAGTTTACATCTTGATTGATGAAACCTCTCAAAAAAAACGATGAGTTTACTTGACATGGCGTGGATCTTTGGCAGTGTTACTATAGATCCAATAGCGATGTTTTATTTCATAGACATATTACCTTGTTGAGAATGGGCCGAGTTGAGAATAAAAATAAATCTTTCTGGATCAATCAAAGAAAAGTATTTGCTTTAATATGAAAACTAATAGTATCAATGACTTTAGAGGGTCTTCAAAGGGAGAGTGACTTGTAGAATAGTTATTTCTAGGTTCGATTGACATTTAAACATCTTAATACGACATACGCTATTCACACAAATCCTAAATACTTCATGTTCTTAACTTGTTTAGAAAGCCACTGCTTTGAAATGAAATATCTCACGCGAAAGTTTATCGCCATAGAACTCGTAAGAAAAGATGAGCCTTGAATGAGATAAGCTATATTTCTTTGCATATCGGAGATCAGTGTCAAAAGCGGGCTGATTCTTAAATGACGATTTTGAAGCTTTTACAAGGATTTTGTCAATGGCGCCTCTCAGGTTAACTGCTAATTTGGCAATTGATAAAACTATGGACAACGCCGGGTTTGTCATTTACTTCGCCTCCACTTCGCATTGAGGCTCGCTGTCCTATGAACAGTTTATTACGTTATGATGGAAGATATCTTATGGACTCATGATTCAACCCACTATTCAAAGAACAATTGTTTGGTAATGGTTCACTCTTCAGCAGAGTGATCCCCATGCTACGAGAAAAATCGTAGAACTCTAATATAACCTTTCGCCCCTCTTTTGAATTTCTCCTTCGCATCTTCACCACTCCTTCTCAGCAACACATAATCTCTGCGATACTCCGATACTTTAAGATCACTTTAATTTTACCAATGTGATGGATTAAACTTGAGTTGAACTGAATTTTACTGGAACAATAGTATATTAGCAACAAGAATCTTTTTAGCAAGATGGGCTTACGCAAGGGTGCTTAACTGAAAAAAATCACTGCAAGTAGGCAATTTCGAGGAAGAATTTGCAATGGAAACTTTTGGATCACAAAAACATGTTTGAAAACACTACAGGCACCACAGTGGAACATAAGCAGTTTTGTGAGACTTTAAGCGTAGTGGATAATCTGATGTACGATGAGAACCATACTGCCAAATTTGTAGACAGTCATTGCGTCACTGCTTTTCACAGGCTATCTTGTTTTAAATGAAAACAATTTTCACAAATAGCAAAGGGTGACAGAGTGAAATAATGTGGTAGTTGCACAGCTGATGACAGTGAAGACTATCAATGAAAACAAAATAACTTTGAGTGCTTTACAAAAGAAACTTCTTTTCAGTACTTCGTTGAATTGTTTTGACGGCTTCTCAATGACCGAATGACGGGCACTTGCCTGGACTGAGACAATCTGCAGACAGGATAAAATCTGTGTAACGGCCAAACAATTGAAAGGCACCGATGAAAATTAGAGAAAACATAACCTAAATTGTTCCGTGTGTTGTAAATGGTACATACCTTTAACATAAGCCTCCAAAATCAAACACTCTTGTAGAAATTACTGAAATATTCAAGTACTTCGTTTTAAAAACGAAAAATTCTTAAATTCTTTATTATCATACTGATTTTATTTCATACTTTTCATCGTATAATTAACAAGAAAAAAGTTAAATGGTGCTATAAAGTAAAAACTAAAATACCCTTTATATTATCTAAGTGGCAAAAGTGATTTCAAGGTAAATGAGATTCACTTGAGTGTCACATACAGAATTAATTAAAACATTAATATAAAATATGGTAGGTACAGATTATTGAAAGTATAAATCTTCTTTATTTAGCTTCATACAGAAGTATTGAATAATATTTTCGCCAGTTTTAGCTTGAAGAAGGGCCTTGTGTCACAAGTCAGTTGATTGTTTGATAATAGCATAGTAGATATCTATTTGTGCGATTTGACGTTTGCAAAAAAGCTTTGTGTGTTCACCCAGTCCCATATTAGAAAGGAGATAAAAGAAAGTTCATCGGCCTCATTTACTTGAACAAGATGCCATTGATGAGATGGGTAACATCGTCAAATTTTGAGGTATTCATTAATGAATACAACATAAATATACTCAGGCTTGAATTAAATGCAGTGTGTCGAAAAAGCTTAAAGTTACAAACTTTATCAGGAAATGCTGAAATGAAAGCAGCTGTTCTGCGATTTGATTGGTTAAAGCCAAGCTACTTGTTTGTCTATTGGTTCAGACCGAGCAACACCGACCCCCCCCTCCCCCCTCTACTTGTAAGGACACATGGTCTTTAATTAACTCCTAAGCCAAGGATTGACTTTATTTGATAGATACAAACAATATGAATCAAAATCAATATAAAAACCCAATACGACCGCTAGTCTAGACAGAGCTACGTCCTTTGAAGCAAGCCATATTTGTCTCTGAGAATATTTTCGACGCTTGAGAGAGCACAACCATCTCGAATGATTTTATACTGCCCCTCAATTGATAAGTCGACAACAGTTGACCCAAGACGCGATTCCTCTGTTTTACCAAGGCAACCACCATTGAAAACCAAGTCCAATTTAGGCCAAAGATATTCAAATTCCTGTCGGATAGATGACACAGAAATTTGAAAATCCAGGGTAGATGTCAAAAATGGGAAAGAATGAGCTGAAAACGAGAGACTGACCTAAAACTGCACTTCATTGCAATGAAACAAAATATCAATTATGTTGGTTGATGTACACATATTTAACCTCAAGTGCAGGAAAAATAAACACTGAATGATGGCATGATATGAAAAAAGACAGATTACTACGAAATCGCAGCAGCATTTCAAGAAGGACAAACCTACTCTTGACAATATTTTACGTCCTTATGGATTTTAAGAATAGTTATTAACTATAACTTCTAGCTTTTGTAAAATATAAGTCCCTGCTCATATTCGAAATTACACCCAGTGATCGCTTTCTGACATCAGCGTTATGGTATAAAACATAGATTGCAGTCTTGGCATTTCAGCTACCTCTGCTGTGGACAGGGGTGGACACTTGGTCAAATATTGGGGGGGGGGGGGCAGGCCTATTGTTTTGATAAGATGACGTCACATTTTCCAATTGTTTTAGAACAAATGAAAATTGAGGCTCATGCAAGGGATCTCATGCGTATAGGGTACCTAAAGTTTTCTCGACGGAAATTGGGTACTAACATGTTTTGATGGGGATCGAGGGGGCATTTTGTTAAGATCGCAAGAGATTTTTATGGAACATTTCAGACACATTATTGGGAACAAGGTAGGCTTATTGAAATTTCCTATGGAACATAGGAACACAGACCCCTGGGCACCTCATTTTTGTATCCTTTTATGAAAATAGTCTGAACTGGCATTATGCCAAATTATCAGAGCTTGGGAGTTTGATATCATTTGCTGTTGTTGTTACTTTTTGAAGACATTTCTTAAAAAAGTAAAATTGAAATTGGTCAAAAATAAACTTGATGAATATTTTTTGTAGTTTTGTATATTCAATGCAATAAATTATTTTCTAGAGACATGAAAAAGGACAGTAGGGCAGCTTTGATAAGCACAAGGCCAGGACAATTTGTAGAAAATTTCAAAAGTCAATGGTAGTGGTATCAAAGCAAAACCATATCACTAAAACGCCTTTTTTACATTCGAACAAACTTCACCTGACACCTTCAATTATATCATTTGGCAAGGAATTCTTAACCAAGCTCAATATGTATATTGGGGTACTTTTATTCAAAACAAAAATTCTCATACCTTTACTTGTAAACAGCTTTTTGCAGCACTTTTATTGGCACTAGTCAATGCAACTGGTTGCTCACAGGCTCTTGCAATGCCTCTTATGAATTTGTGGTCAGGTATACGAACACCAACTAATTCAGTGGCTGGATTTAGGTCAGGATTCAGTTCTGGTTTCCTTTTGAAGATAAGAGTAACAGGACCAGGAAGCAGGTCATCCAGTATACTGAGAGACACAGTAACTTCGCACCATCTTCAAAAGTTAAAAACAAATTGAATACAAACTTCTATGAATACAAAGATGTTGAATTATTAGTTCAACTTTATAGCAGCACCCATAGGTAAGCTCTACCCCTTTGAGTACTATTATAAACCCCATCAAAGCAACTCACTTACAAAAATCTACTAGGCTAACTTTTTCAAAGTTATTATAAACCAAATGTTCTACACCATAAGTAAGAAAATGTTGAGCCTGAATTCTTCCAGTTTTCTTGATGCGCTTATTTTGAACAAAAGATGGTTATCTAAAATAAATCTAGGAAGCTGTTTTTCAAGTAGGCATTCTATTTGTTTAAACCTTCTTTAACTGAAGAAAAAATAAAGTCTTTGACTGACAGAAGTTGATGCTTTTTCATCTCTCTTGATAAAGATGCTACTAGCATTCTACATCAAAAACGAATCATTTGGTCCCTAAAGTCAGTCCTCCCTAGTCTAGTATTTGGCTCTAACAACACATCACAACCAAGAAAGAAAATTTCATTATTCTCTGCAAATATGATTTGTAAAAATTTAATAGCTACAAAGTTGTAAGAGTTTTAGAAACTTGAGTGTGTGGCTGAAGGTTGTAGTCCTGGTAATATGAAATTTGGTGGCGTGCTGGTAATCGCACACCTTGAAAAGTTTAGGCGTGCGATCAATAAAATAGAGACCTTACGATTTTTATGAAGACCTTATGTCATTTTTGTATTAGAATGTGTGTATCACTGCTTGAAAAAGCGTATGAGGTTTTTGTAAATCCAAAAAGGTTTTATTGAATTTTAAAAGAAGTTTCTTGAAAACAAAATAATTTAACAAAAAAGATACAAGTTTTTTAGGCTCTGTTGCCATTACTCCATTTTCATATGAGAACAGATTCGAGTGAATCTGTTTTCCAATTTGAGTTCCATTAATATGCTCAAAAACGATGTCATTTGATACCAAACCGAAGTAATTCAAAAACGCTGGTCAAAGTGAAGTCATCCGAAAACGAAATCATTTGAATCTAGGCGTCGTTTTATTGGGAACAGTGAAGACAGAGGCATTCAAAAACAGAGTCATTCAATCTCAGTTTCAAAAAGAGCTCTAGCTAAGGATATGATAACAAACAAATATGGAGTAATGGAAACACCCAGGTTATCGTTTTGACCAAAACAGAGTGGCCCAGGGCAATGTGTTCAAGACAATAAGAAAAGGACGGAGAGAGAGAACGGAGACATACAATAACGGAATAACTGAATAACGGAGTAAGGGAAACCGGGCCTAATGGAAACGAAGTAAAGAGTTATAATGCCTCCGGGAATGCCATCAATATAACCCACACAAAAGAAATTAAAAGAAACAAAAAAGAAAAAAGAATAGTAATTCAAAACGCGGAACTGGGCGTGCGATAGAAAGCATGCCTCGGAAGTTCTAGGCGTGTGTGGAGGCATGCCCGTGCGATCGCACGCCTAATATTACCAGGACTGCCCATGCTATAGGTGTTTGTCTCACATTCACTAAAAAGCACTTAGTTATCCTGGCAAAACTTGGAAGGCTAAAAGCAATAGAAAAAGGAACTGGTCATCCTTTCTCATCATAAGTGTTAGTTAATAGAGACTTAGACCTATGCACTAATTGTATGTAAAACTCATCGATTCTCTTCTTTTGAAAATCTTTTGAAATTCATTTAAAGAGAAAACTCAAAAACTGGCTAAAAGAAATATTATGTCTCACTCTGTACGGTATAATGGTTTAATGCATCAATTAATGTTTTCAAATTACCTGTATATATCTTGAATATCTGCTACACAAATTGCAATTGGTTTTTCCCTGTGCCTTTCTTTTATTTGATAAATTGATTCTACAGCTTTGTTTGACTGAGCTAATGCAGCTATCCCATAAATTGTATCAGTGGGGACTCCAATGATGCTCCCCATTTTCAAAGACTTTGCTGCCTTTTCTAAAAATGATTGACATTTGTCAAAAGAACGGTGTCAAAATGCAATGTTTTGTTAGTAGGGGTTATCAATCTAAGACTGTCATAGATGCATGATATGATGCACACACATAACTTCATTCAGTTTATAATAACATGAAGTAATCTTAATGTTTATAGGCATTTATTGGTACTCTTCTTGAATTTCTACAATTATTGAACAAATCAAATAAATATTGAAATCATCAACGACAAACATTTATTGTTGCTGTTACCGAGAATCGAGATTATAACACAGACAATAAGGCTTATTCTGTCTAGAATAGAAATTGAAGGCACTAAGGTAAAATTCCTTTCATTAAACGAAATATCAAGTACCGTACTTCCATAATTCATATATACGAATACAAGACTGGTAGGTTATAAGAGCAGGGACACCGAAACTAGGCCATCGAATTATAAATCGATTTCAATCTTAGAAATAAAAAAAACTAATACTGCTTACCACAAGCATGTCCATCTTCGATATGCATTACTTTATCCATTTCAAAAGCTTTGAACGGAAGAAAGCCACCGAAGTAAACCACTTATCTAAGAAACACACTTTTCAACCATGCCTTGTTGCTAACACATTTCATCAGCAATAGTCTCCTCATCCTGAACTCGAGGCTCCCAAGGCGCAATAAGAAATATCATTGCGCAATAACCACTGATCTCAAAAAAGATTTTTAAATCTCAAATAATTCGGGTAAATTTTTTTTACATCAGTAAAAATTACAATTCAAAATTACTAACAACTCCACGTACAAAAAAGAAAGGTTCAGCCATGGCTGTCATCTTTCTAATGCGGAAATCATTTTCAAGAATAGAAAACGGTGCATTTTCTTTCTTTAAGAGAAGGCAAATAGAATCATTCATATTAGCAGCTGTGTGTTTACTTTTCAACTTTCTGATCGTAGTGATTTGCGAATGATATGAGCCGTTCTTTACAACAACATTCTAGTTTGGAATGATGCATTTAACCTGATTTTTGTAGAAACACAGATCTATATTATCAAAATAGTATAATAACAATTACTTTTCTTGATCAATGTGCAACAAGGTTAAACGCAGATTTACTGCTAACACTTTGCTCTCCTCGAATCTCCGCAACAACATGGAGCAACGCTGGCTTTCTCAAGCTGTGTCTGTCCAAACCAAGCATCCGAAGAGTACGACGACGCAGGACAGAATACAAGTGTTTCAAAAACATTGTTTGTCTCTTTCAAAGTTGAGGAAGCCCTTTTAGTAATAAAATATGCTGTGAGGAGTACTCAACCTTCAGGGGGCTGAATCCCATTTGCTTATGCCAAAATGTAACTATTTTCTGCCTTTGCTATTATTTTTTGCATTAATTTCTGCAAGATATCTCCTTTTAATTTTGATAGCGTTAAAAACATGGTTAGCTGCATTACTATGCTCCGCAATATATCAATTTTTGAGTACTTCACTTTTTGACTTTTTAATTGCTTTTATCTTTCAATGAATTACTCAGTACAACCTTCTCAACTTAAAATTTTAACATGCATATCAAGTTTGCTCTGCTTCCTGTTATCACCCTCTGCCTCATAGCCACTGTACCCTGGACTTAATCTTACGAATGTATCAACTGTTGTTTTAACGATAACATAGAAAATTATTCTTCAATTGCAACATCCAGTGATAAAAAAAGTACCCGAAATGTTTTCCTCAAGATAATAGTTAGAAATATTACTGTTTTTTCTTCCACAAATATTAAATTTTACCTTTTTACAAATTTGCATGAATCGCAAAATTTAAAAATCAGTCAGCTGTCATTTACACGCTGCATGCATTTTCAAGGATAAATGGCTAACGCCAATGAATGAAATTAGAAAAATTGACAATCAATGAGCGAATAAATTAGCTAATGTTTAGATAAACTAATATTACCTGAAATAATCTTAAAATCATACATGAAATGCTCAAACATTGGATATTGTCTAAAATCAATCTGCGTGGCTACCAATGTTCCAAAACAACAATATACGAAAACATTAGCCTTCAATCGAGAGTTTATTGAAAAATTACCATCAAGAGAATCCAAGATAAGAGTCAAACATTGATGGTGAACTTTTCTCATAACCAGGGCCCGCGCCACAAATTTGAAAATGGGGGGCCAAGGCTAAAAAGGTAGGAAGCCAATGCCTCTTACCCCTTATACTACAGTTTAAAACTACTTGCTTCGCAAAAAGTGGAGGGCCATGGCCACAACGCCCCCCTGGTGGCGCGGGCATTGATAACAGTGAAAGTAACTGTAATGATGTGGCGAGGAAATAGCAAACTAAATTTTGTGTGATTTTTGAGGTTGAAGAGTCTCCTTAACACCCCTTGCTGTCCCAAACCTTCTGCCCTAATGGGTATACAGGGCATTAACTCTATTCTAAGAGAGATACATAATTATAAGCTATAAACATATCATATAAATTCCTTCATGATGATACTGCTCTGGATTCATGGCAATGTAGATGCTGTAGATATTTTCAAAATTGCTAAGACCAAGCTACTAGTTTTCAGTAGCAAAAACCAAGTCTGGAAGAAGATTGAAGATTACTTCAGAATAGCCAACATGACATTTAGTCGGTTTTTTTGTTTATATAGCAAAATGTCATCGATACTGCAGACAAAGCAAGCTGCTGATATAGAAAACGAAATACGTATTTACATATAGATCATTAGGTATATTTACATATATTTCCATCTATATTTATTTCTTGTTTAAAAATTAGTGTTTCGTGTTTGCTTGTAATTAAAGTTATCTATTTGCTGTATCAGTGAGAAAGAATGACACTAATGCTTAAAGAATACGTTATAATAGGTTTTACTAGTAGCAAGAATAAAAATTAAAATATAATTTGTTAAGATATCTACGATAATGCCTCCTTCAACATTCTTCCATGATCAACGAGTTTTGTATTAATCCTGTTCAGAACACAGTTTTGGGCGCTTACAGAATTCTGGAGATCACTAAGTTTCTTTTCTTGCTCCTTGCTTTTTTGATCCTCTTGGTTCTTGATTCTTCCCTCGATGAACCCAGTTAGATCTTCACCAGCATCCTTAGAGCTGAAGAACCTTGAGGTGAAGAGAGTTTGAAACATACACAATGAATAGGTGATAAAAGCAATGGCAAAGACGTGTAAGGGAATAAGCCAAAAATAGCAAATAAATGGTTTTTTGTGGGATGGTAATGAAATAGTAGCATGAGGCTTGAGAAAAGCCAATGAATGCTTCTCAATGAATAAAACCAGTTCAACTTTGAAGTACTATAAAACTTCGTAACTCTGTTAAGGCAAGTACTCAACAAATATTTCGTTCCGAGGAAAGAAGAACAGTCTTATGAAGACATTTTTCGGAACTTGTTTTTAAGTTCGGAAATTATTTTTTACTAAATTTGCTGAAAGATTGCAAAATCTTTGGGGTTATAGTTAATGTAGGCCCTATTATAAAGTTCGACAACGTCGAAGGACTGACACTATACCTCTTCAACCAAGTTTTCTCATTTGGTCTTTCAACAAGAAACCGCTGGTAAGTGCACTTGACGATAAAGTTCGGGCTTTTATCGATTAAATCTTTCATGTATCGAGCTTGCTGTTTCATAACGTTATGCTTCGCTGAATTGCGAATGCTTTCAATGTCTCCGACAGCCAAGCCAACCTTGAGGAGAAATAGGGACAGAGAATGTACGTGGTGAAGAGAAAACAGAGAACATATAACTTGATTTTGAAATATCGATGGCATTTTGATGTTGACATTGAAGAAATAATCGCTGCAAAAAGTTGTGTAATACATTTGAAATTGCTGATGAGCCTCGTGGTAAAACTGGCTCTTCCTACATTCAGAATTTGCGATAGATATTCTAGGCTTGAAACACTTCTTCCATAAGCAGTTAACGTTGAAGTTTCACTTCAAAATATGCTTAGGTAGGTAAAAAAATGTATGCAAAAGCTTCTGATCTTGCATCTACAGATAAAAAACACCAGGAAAAGTAACTTGAATTAGGATAACATTGTTTGGCCGCCCATTTGCTTCCGGAACTTCACTTGTGTTAGCAAAGTTAGAGTATATTAAGCTTGCATTGAAGTTGAATTGGCTTCTCTACTTGCCTAAATATTAAATAAATCTTTCGTATTGTTAGGTCTTCTACATAACAACAAAGGATGTCGTAGCATATAAATAGGCTTACATACCAGTAGATTCATTAGGGCCACAGGTAACATGATGATAAACATCGAGTAGATCAGATAGGATACCAAGGGCAAAGGCACGTTAGGCATGGCTGATTTACTGTCCTTCGTCCCCACAGCATTCGGAATCGTATCCTCATACTCAAGCTCTCCACTTAGCATCACGAAAGTCTTCATGTAACTGTTCTTCATGTCCTTGAAAACAGTTTGCGTGAGGAACAGTTGGTTAAAAGCCAACGAAAACGCTAGCAACAACGGAGTGAACACAAATAAGACGCGTATCAGTGTGTAAATAACTTGCGTGAACATAACTACGTAGATATTAAACATCGGGCTGCGACGTAGAAAGAGGAGAACGTTCAACCAACCAAAAAATAGCGAACAGACGCCAAGAAAAAGCTCCCATTCTTTGCTGCTGTAATTCATGAACAGGAATCCATTTAGGTATCCAAAGGCCGAGATTAATACTTTCCACTCCAGTATGTTCGACAACTCTTTAAAGTATCGGAAGCCCAGTGCAAAAATTTGAACGCACTCTTTCAAAAATGTGAGACACAGAAAGATAAAGATGAAATAGGCTAAAACTTGCCCTGAACTACTTTTAGATGGCACATGGATACCAGAAGGAGTAGGTTTTGTCGATCCATTGGTTGTATTAAGTGGGGTGATGAGCTTCAAATCCCTGTGAAAGAAAAAATTTTTATATATATGATTAATTACGTACTTTACAATAAACATTTCATTCTTATAAGCTTAAATAGCTTTTTTAAGATTATGAGTTTGCATAATGCAGTTTCACAAAACCACTGCAAACAGATTTTCAGGTACAAATGTTAAAGATATTTACTAATGTATTTTCAAAAACACTTTCAAAAGGAAAAATAAGACGAAAAAAACAAAAACAGATCTTACGCTTCTCTCTCTAGGATTATGAGTGCTGTCAGTGAGATGATAAACGTCAGATAGATGAAAAACGAAAAGTAGTAAACAATCCCTCCTGCACTGGACCACATTACGTTGATAAGCTTTTGGGTTAATGGATGCGCCAAGCATTCTTCTCTGTCCAAATCTGCCATGATTGCTGGGCCAAAATAGAGGCCAGAGGCAAACGTATTTCTACATGAACATGGTGATGCTTGTAATGCTGAGAAATCATAGCTGACTTCGAATTCTTTGCAATTATATTGATGTTCAGAAACACTGATCCCTTTGTTCAGAATTTTTATAACCACCTCAGGGTATTTGGCTATCATCACTGGCATCAAATGATCAAGTAGCAAGTTATTATTTTTAACGGCATCTTGAAAGCTAAAATAAAAGAAAGTTGTTAATCACAAATCACTAATCATGAATCACTGTTCTTGAAACGGCAGGCTAGAGTCGCTTATCATGACTCGCCAATCACGAATCGCTACTCATGTATCGCTTATCTTGAATCAGTAGGCATGAATCGCTAATCGTGACTCGCAAAACACGAATCGCTAATCTTGCATCACTAATTACAAACGGCTAAAGATGAGCCGCTATCATCATCATCGTCATCATCACGATCAACAGGGTGATCAACCTCATCATTAGCTGCATCTCTCCTTACCTGTGGTGATCAACGATGGCTTCGACAACGCCTTCAGAGTCACCATTCAGTGCTTGTTCAAGAGCGTCAAACTTGACGTTGGCGGTTCCTATTTGATTAATGGCTAAACTGTCCAGCAACATGGTCAATGCCTCAACGTTTCCAGACTTTATTGCAGGTTCTAAATCGGCAGTAACTAATTCTGTTTTTGCTTCAATGAGCAACTGCACAATGGCGTTCTTCTTATTTACTACTGCAACGTGCAGTGGCTTCATTCCATCTTTGTCTACTATGTTAACATCCGCCTTTGATTTGATTAAATGCTGACAAACATACCTAAAAAGATAATAATTGACTGTATTTAAAATTTGAGAGCTTTCTCTATCTGATTTTCCGCAAAAATTTTTAGTATTACATCCTATCATCAAATAGCACAAAAAAAAAATTGTTAGTATTAAAATGTGATTTGAAATAGATATTGTAGAATGCTGCGCATTGCAGAGCACTCCAATATTCATTTTTGTATCCTAACTCAGTTAATGGTATAAAACATTTCATATTTATGTTTCATTTATTGTATATGCATTTGTCACTGATGTCAACATAGTGGAAAACTTTTAATCAAAATGATTTAATAAGATTTAGGAGCAAGAAAGGAAAATTCTCCCTATATAATGTATATCTATAACGATTAAAGTATAGATTCAAACATTTCCAAACGCATAATATCATAGGGCTGATACATTGTTTTACACTGTCTATATAAGTGGTCTTGATATAGATATCATCAAGAACCACTTGGGGTCATGTTACCATTGATAATTTAAGAACAATTTTGGTTTTTTTAAGGTCAACAGTGTGTTGATAGGAAATCTGTGGACATTTTACATTGCTTCATGTTCCATTTCGATACGCCTTGAAACTGGAGCATCCTTTGAGTTATTCAGCACAATTTCCATATTAAATCTAATTTAGTCACTTACACATGTCCTTCAATTGCTGCCAAGTGAAGTGCAGTTTGCTTATGGTTGTCTTGCATATTTACATAATCTATCGGCCAAATGTCAGTCAATTTTTTCAAGCAGGCCAGTTTGTTAAGTTCAGCAGCCATGTGAATCAATGTCTTTTTGTTGTCACAGTAAATAATGGTCCCAGAGCAACGATTTAACAGCATCTCAAGAATCTACACCCAAAAAGAAAACAATGACAATTCAACAAATGAGATAAATAAATACTAAAAAGATACACAGGGTAATAAATGAATATTCATCACGGTAACTGCGAAATAACATTGCTAGAGCGATTTTATACACGGTATAAGTAATTTAGTACAATACAAGACAGTGTATTGATGCAATACAAATCAATACTTAAATGGTTGTATGTTGTTTGAATCTCCTGTAATCGCCTAATTTAGAGATTTGAATGCTAAGGTTAGGTTATCACTTTAAAGGCTTCTAAGTCCATGCAACAAAGTGCATATTCCTGAATACCTTATTTAATCAAAGTTTTATTGCAAAATCTGTCAAAATGAGTGCAATCATTTTGTCTCATTTTTATCATGTTTCCGCTGCTACATGCCATTGTCAAATTCAACTTCACCCTTTTCCTACGTATGTGCTGACATTATTCAACAAATTTCACTGTCGTATTTCTAAAGGAATACAAGTCATAGTACTGTCGATGTATTCACAGTTTTGTACTTTAATATATTGAAGTCCATAGTAAAATTGATTGAAAACCAATATACACAACGTCAATCGAAAATTTGTTGCATAAAACATTATATTCTTTAAATGAAGACGGATCTCTACCTCTCTTTCGCTATTTTGCTGGAAACATTTAATCTATCTTAAACAAATCTCAAACGAGGTGGAACTCAAACAGACCTTTTCGTTGCCAGAAAGCACAGCCTCGTGTATGATCAATTGGTCGTTGATGTTTCTTCTGAAAATTAGCCCATTCCCACCGTGTCGAAGCAAATGTGGAATGATTTTGTAATCATTTTCTTTCACGGCATAATGCAAGCAACAACAGAGCTTTGTGTCCACACTGTTGCAGTCCGCTCCATTTTCCAATAAGATCTTCGTTACTTCGTGGTGGCATCGGGAGACTGAGAAGAACAGTGGGGTCCAACCGTCTTCGTTCACAGATTCAATGTTTGCCCCACTGGCGAGAAGGAGTCTGACTGCTTCTACTCTACCATTCATAGCAGCTCTAGCGTAAAAACACAGTAACTTTGATTAAAATTATGGGATTGCAAATTTTATGTCATTGCTATCAACTTTAAAAGGTGTTTGTTGAATACGGTATTTGCTAGGGGATTGAGATAGGTGCATTTGTCATTGATGGCATTGACATCGATAGGGGGCAGTGGGTTAAAGCATAAGAATATTGGTCAACTGCAAAGGGGACTGGAAAGGGGGAGTGCAAAAAGTCATACATGCGTAGTATAATACGTATCTGAGGTAGCTTTCTTTAGTTTTAACTCGAAACCCGTCTTATATCTATTCATACCTCTATACATAATCGCCAGAGGTACAGTGCTAGGGAGCTCAAGTTCTATAGTTGTTTTGAAAATGGCTTTGAAAAAAGCAAACATTTTACAACATACTTAAAGCTTTTTCGTCTGACACTCCTCAGAGCATAAAACGTCAGAATAGGTTCCGAAAAAACACGTTTGAAAAATATATACCCAGTTGTGGATCGAAACAGGCCAATCAGAAAAACGCAAGCACAAGACCGGTATAGTTGACCAATCAGTGCCGCGAGCCTAAAGAAAAATTACCAATGGAGTCCAAGAGAGAAAACTAACTCCTTTTGTCTACACAATGGCGGCTTTTTCGTTTTTATGTAGATTGACTCCAAAACTGCTAGATGGAAGGACGACCGGGCTCTGCCAATTATCCGAAACATGTCGTCATTATAGAGTTTTGCACAATCTGGGTTGTCTAAAAGATGTTGACCAATTGCAGAATCACTTGTTTTAACAGTGTTTCTAGACCTACAAGATCGAGGAGGCTGTTCTCTTTGAGGGGCAGTTTTGTTTCGTATGTTGGAAGGAACATGCTGTTTTATCCTATCCCCCAATCTTTGGGTTGTGCGCCCTACGTAGCCAGAATCACACTGGCACGTAAATTCATAAATGACGGAACTTTTTTGTTTGGTAGGAACGCAATCCTTTTGAATGGATGGAAGAGCTCTCCTAGTGCTGTAAATAATCCGAGGATTGACAGCAAAGAAACAATTGGTTATGGCTTGCCTAATCTGACTCTCGAATCGCAAGGAAGTGTTACCAATCCATGGTAGTTTCAAATAAACTGGGCACTTTTGCGGACCAAACTTTTGAACAGCCGAAAAACTTGCGATCTTCTCCTTAGTATAAGATAAAATGACGTCTTCAGGATAGCCGTTGTCCAAGAAGATCGTTTTGAGTTTTTCCAGTTCAGCGTGCAGTTTAGATTTCGAGCAGATAGGATAAAACAGCATGTTCCTTCCAACATACGAAACAAAACTGCCCCTCAAAGAGAACAGCCTCCTCGATCTTGTAGGTCTAGAAACACTGTTAAAACAAGTGATTCTGCCATTGGTCAACATCTTTTAGACAACCCAGATTGTGCTAAACTCTATAATGACGACATGTTTCGGATAATTGGCAGAGCCCGGTCGTCCTTCCATCTAGCAGTTTTGGAGTCAATCTACATAAAAACGAAAAAGCCGCCATTGTGTAGACAAAAGGAGTTTGTTTTCTCTCTTGGACTCCATTGGTAATTTTTCTTTAGGCTCGCGGCACTGATTGGTCAACTATACCAGTCTTGTGCTTGCGTTTTTCTGATTGGCCTATTTCGATCCACAACTGGGTATATATTTTTCCATCGTGTTTTTTCGGAACCTATTCTGACGTTTTATGCTCTGAGGAGTGTCAGACGAAAAAGCTTTAAGTATGTTGTAAAATGTTTGCTTTTTTCAAAGCCATTTTCAAATTCTGTACCGCAAAAAAATTGTTCATATAGTTGTTTTGCTACATTTTGCTTAAGGACCCCCTTGCCATTTTGTTAGGACTACACCCCTAATTATCGCACCAGTCAGTATCAGCTCCTTGCTGTAATTGACCGACTTCATTCTGACAAGAATCGAATCGAATATTTGGTAAATTTTTTAAAGGCAGGAAAATGATCAAAAACCATCCAATCATACATAAAAAGTACTGATAAATGGCCCGAGCATAGAACTGCCAATGTCATTTTATAGATTGACGCTGTATCCAATGGATAAATAAGAACAAATGCCACGATACCCCGAAAATTTAATATCTTGTTTATAAGAATACATGGACTGAGTATCATTTCAGATAAATAGTGACGTAGACCCAATTGTCTTCTTCTTTATACCTTTTTACTACACCAACTCACAATCCCATACTATTATTCTATAGCCGACACTTACTTGTGCAGAGCAGTGTTCCCGTACCGATCTTTGGCATCAATGGCTGCTCCACCGTCTAAAAACAGCTTCATGACTTCAACATGACCATCTCCTGCTGCCATCTCCAGTGCATTCGGCACAGCACCATTGCTCTGGTTAACTTTTACACCTGAATCCATGATAAGCTTTACCGTTTCAATGTGACCCATTTTCGCCGCTATATGAAGGGCAGTGAAATGGTCGTTCCTTGGGATATCTAGGAATTTGCTCCGACATTCGTTATTTGGACAACCTGTTCACCCAAAAGAGAAACAATGTATTTTGCCTAAAGTTCAAGAAAAGAGTAATGGATACAAGGGAAACAGTTTTAAACTTTAACAAACAGCAATAGTGTAGTGTCTGTCTCTGAGCAAAGCTACGTACAGCAAGTTAAATCAGACTTTAGGCTTAATGGACAAGCCAAGCTCAATGAAGTAGGATCGGTTAGTTTAGGACTATTATGACTAAGAAAATTACAACGAGAAGATTTGGTAGTTTCTCGGTGTGCAAAATATTAGATGGTGCTAGATTGACAAAAAATATCAGTAAAATTGGATGTCACAAGCAACATATTTTCAAGTTCAACCTTGGTTCCAGTGTAAAGCTTAAATGAAATATTACCGATTTAAAAGAACCAGAAAATTAGAGTTAAACCTGGCTGTTCTTAATTCTACCAGACTTTTGAGGCTGGATTGTTCTTAATCTGTTCTTAAATTATTAGTGTGGAAGCAGTGCAATCACTAGCTATTGTGCTCAAGAGGATTGTTCAGAACCCATTTGCCAACAAAGTGAGTGAGACATCCTTTATTTGCCAACAAGCTTGAAAATTCAACGAAAAAGCACTTCTTGATGGCAAAAAACTCCTTGTTTCTGCGAAGGAGATTTCACAATATTGTTCAACATTACATTTTACAGTACCTCAATTTGTTCTTAATTTGCTGTTAACTTTTGAGCAATTTTGAGGTTCGTTATAGAAGTTTCCTTATAAAAAAAGATTGTAGTAGATTATTTATCTACCATTAAAGCATACACCGACCTGATATCAAGAGTACTTTCATTGCGTCAACATGATTTAACAGACTGACTAAATGCAGTGGTGTCTCCCCGTTTGAGTTTTTGGCCGTAACCTTTGCCTCACAAGACAGCAGCTTCTCACACAACTGGGCATCACCCTGCAATGCTGCATAGTGAAGTGCAGTGAAGTCGAAGTGGGTTTGAGAATAAACCAAAAAGGGACACCTCATTAGTATCTTAACTGCCATGCCACGGAGGCCTCGTTCTATTGCTAAGTGCAGGGCGTTGTTTCCATGACGGTCAGTTTTCTTTAGGCTTGCACCCCTGTCCATGAATAAGGTAGCCATCGGTATGTTGCCGTGCCTGAAAAACAAACAAAAATGGCAGATTAAGAAAATTTCGGCCTTCTCCGATCCAAAACGATAGTCTGGAAATAGCTTTGCCCGTTCCCTGTAAAATATCAGTAACAAAACAAGAGATGTTATTAGAGTAGGCATATCCGCACAAAACTGAAAGCGACTATCCGAAAAAAATTTTGTGGAGAAATTTGTCTCTTTGGATAAAGAGTTGTGAAATGGCATCTCTTGCTGTTGGCGAATTTGTTGGCTGGGAACGACCTCTTATGGTCGTTCTGCGCATAATTTGGTCAGGTGACTGTGTTTATTTCCCGGCTCGGGGTAAATGGGAGAACAAAATTGACAAATTTTGTGCGGCACAGTGAAAGCAAAAAGCAATTCCTACAAATAGTATACAAATAACATTTATCCGGCACAGTGTAAACAAGGCTTAGGTAGCTTAACTTTAAGGCCCTTTAACTATATTTTACTTTTTCCAAAGCAAACACAGCGATTTCTCCTGAAATCGTGACTGGCTGGCAAAGTTACTTCCGTTAATGGCTGGTTAATGTAAACGCGAACGTGCTGTTTCTCGCTTTGCATTTAGAATGGAAAAAGATTGAAAAAATATTTTTTCACAGAGGCGTGTAGGAATAGAAAGAAGATCTTTTCTTCTGTATTTAAATTTTCCTTTTCGTACATTTGAAATGTCGCTCAAATGTGATAAGAAAAAAAATCTAGTAGAATTCCTACCCTGACGTATCTTCTGTAAAACACCTACTAGCAAGTTTATTTGACACAGAGGGCATTGATCGAAAAAGCCATAGAGATTGGCAGGGTCTAGGAGCATCTAAACAGTGGAATGATTTTCAAAAAACTGTATAAAGAGCCCAATCAGTCAACAAATTTGACAGCAAACTAGAATATTCCATGTTGAAAGTCATATATTCATCTTGTATAAAATTCTCGCTCTAATTATGAGGATGTAACTATATTTTGTCAACAGTATTGTTGTTAGCAACGCTCATCGCGTAATGACGCAATCAGTGACGTAACAAAATTGTGTCGGACCCTTAAAATGAAAGTAGGAAGAATTAAGGAGTCTTTTTTACATGCCCTAATCGAGTTCTTAAGTGTGATACTTTTAGAAATGTCATAAATAAACTACTTTTAGAATCTGAATTTTGACCACATACCATATAGGAAAACCATAAAATGCTTCTAAATATGGAAAATAAGTTGAATATGCTAAAAACTGTTAAGATATGGCCAATGAAAGATCTAAAGTTTTCAATCGGATTACAACTGATTTAGCTCTGTTCATTGACTTTTGAACACACACAGACCAAATTACAGAGGTTTGATGAAGACCAAATTATAGAGGAAGAGCCTATGCTCTTGGGGCCATATCTCAGTTATTTCGTGACACCTTTAACTGATATTGCACATTAAGTGTTTCTCATGATACTCTTTCTGGTTATGGAATCCAAACTGACAAATTAAGAAAATATTCATGACGTCTCGCTTAAACTCTATTGTCAACATTGCGATTGCCGATTACGCCACTGAGAAAATCTGACAAATTTGTAGTCAAAAACGGTGTAATCTTCAGTTAAAATGAGAGACGAAAACCATCATTGTTTCTCTCAACCTTCGCCTACCTCAATGCAAGATGCAGGGGTGTTTCTGTATTCCTTGACTCTACATCCAGGAAAACACCATTGTCCAAAAGAAGTCTGGCAGCCACAACAGACGGCTGCAAGGCAGCGTAATGTAAAGCAGCAAACCCTTCGAAATCAAGCAAACTTGCAGCTTTATCCACAGCCTGGTATCCAAAGGTTAGCAACTGCGCCACAAGCTTGTACAGGTCTTCAACTTGACCGTGTTTTACATGTTCGTGTATTGAGAAATTGCCTGTTAGCGGAGGTGCATCTTGTGGTTCAAATTGGTTCAATTCAACCTCTAGGTTATTCCTAAAATTGTCAATCCTGGTACTCGATAGAAAGCCTGAATAGATGCTTTTATCCATGATGGCATTCAAGCTTTAATGAAGTGTCAGTATTTCCTCGGATGATTGTTATACCCTTCACTAGCGCAAACTATCTTTTGCCTTTCTCCATTTGCTTTTCCACCCATTTTCAGAACTGCCATATAAAACTCGCGCTCTTCGAGTACTTACAGACAGAACATAAACGGTCTTGCAGCTATTGTCCTCGTCAAGGATCGTTGCTTAGAATTCAAACAATTTGTTTACAGAATGTTGTCAAACAAAGAATTCACAACATGTTCCTGGAAGTGGTATTGCAAATGCACGACATAATACCCAGGATTAGTGAGGTTTCTGAAGAACTCAGGTATTGAAAGACATAAACAAAATTTGCTTCTCCCAAATGCATTTTTATATTCAACCTATTGAAAATGATCAACGCAAATTGGAAATCAAACAAGTTAAAAATTTTGTCTTAAAGAGAGGTTCTCCCTTAAGTAGATTTTCTCCCTTAAGAACTATAGAGCCAGGAAAACAAAACAAAAATGGTCAACGGTATCCCGCTAAAAATGAATATCTTTTATTTTGTGCAGTTTAAAAAGATGAGCAAAAATTCATATGGATTCTTCTCTTGTGATTCCCTGAGAAGCATTGCGAAGTTGTATTACGTCAACAACATGGCGGTACTTAGGTATATGAGTATTTCAAAGCATGTTTCTCGTTTATTGGCGTGAATGTTTCCAGTAATCTGCAAAAGTTTGTGACAATGATAAATTTGGATTTAGAGCTAAATTTGGAATTGCACGTTATCCCTTTGAACCTGAAAAGTGTTTTTAACACCTCGTGCGGAAAATTTAACTGGTTGGAAGAAATAAGCGCATTTGGGAAACAAAGGTATACTCTTTTGTATACAAGAAGCTTTCATGAAATTGAGTGCTCAAAGTTTCTTAAACACTTCTTGCAGTAATTTTTGTCGAAAGCAGGAAAAGATTGTAACAGAGAACTGTGGTACGATTTTTCTGTGCAATTCAACTTTCAATCAATAAAATACCAATCCACCAGAAACACATTTATCTTACAAGCTGGGTTTGTATTAATATGCACACGGTCGTCAGTTTTATTAGTACTGGGCATGATTTCATCCAAGAAATTAGGTTTACCAAAGACTGTGAAATTTCTACTCCTTAGCATTGACCAGCCAGTACTGAGTATTTTTCAAAGAGTTTCCTATGAATATAAGTGAGTGTGTGTATATGGCTTAAAGTTAAAAAGCTGACGTTTTTTACCTTTTTACGATATATGTACACTCCTTTATACTTGAAACTGCATTAAATTCAGAAACATTTGAGCATAATACACTTGACCTTTCTGAGTAGCTCTTTTTTTGGAGTGTATAGCACAAATTTTGATTCTCTTCGTCTCCATCTAGTCATCATTTGCTTATTTGTCCATAAGTACATACATTATCATCATTACATAATAATAAATAAAACTTTAACAAAAATGAAAATTAGCAATGTTTGTCCTTGATTTTGCTACTGACTTTGTGTATCTTCTTTTGCTTAGAAATGCTAATTTTTGTCTGTAGAAAAAAGGAGGGACAATGGCCTGCCCCCCCGGTCTCCGGCCCCGTTTTGCCGGCCACAGCTGACTAGATCAATACTTGCATTACTTGACATATATATTTGTTGTTTGAGCGCAGGCTAACAAATGGCCAGACAGCATTGTCTAACTATATGTCATACCTTGCCTGGGGTGTGCTATGATGAATATGTTTTGATTGTACACAAATGATGCAAAAGATGTGATTTCTACTTTAGAGGACGTTTCTGATTTACGAGTGAGGACTTGCAAGATTTGAGCAGTTTTTGGTAATAAAATATGGTCCACGACTCACGAGAAAAGATAGATGACGTTTTGATTCGATGACGATGCATGCGGACGGTCATTATTGCTTTTTTTCAAACTGAAACCCCTGTTGGGAAATTCAAATATCGCGAATTAAATTTTGTATTCAATTACGACGTCGGAACAACAGAAAAAGAATCACAGAGGAAGACATTGAAAACAATGCCTTCAGAATTGAAGGAATGACGAATCAAGGGTGACCCGTGCAACTACAGAAGCGTTACGCATGATGCATATGTTTGTATTGAGCCCGGCAATAAGCTAGCAAAGTTGCTTCGATATCTTTTATAGAGAAGGAAGCAAGGAAACGCTCGAAATTCATTGTATGAAAAAGGCGATGGCAGCCTGATTTATTTCATCATGACGATTCAAGATTTAGAACTCGCGAAATCTATTACGGCGGTTGATGTTGAAGGATACGATAACAGTGCTGCATTGAATCAAAATGAATTTGCCCTGCACCAGTTAATCAAGAATGGACAGATGGAAGATCTGTACCAAATGATAGTCAGTTTAGGGGATCGAAAACACGATACGCTCAATACACTGGCAAGCGCGCTGGATAACGATGGGCTTACAGCTCTCCACTACGCAGCGCTTAGAACTTCAGTTGTTGCTGTTCGATCTCTCCTTGACAACGGTGTTTACATTGACACAGTATCAAAGGCGGGAGAAACACCGCTTCATACTGCGCTCAGGTAAGAGAATTGTTTGTTTCTGCAACCTTGAGAAGGGCGCATCTGAGTGTTGCAACACCAGAAGAGTCAATTTTATTTTCAAAATGACGACATTCAAAAACAAAACGATCTCTGTGATTAGTCAAAGGTACCAATTCGGTGTCTACTTCACTGTTTTCTGCAAAACAGAAGGGTCAATCGTCCATGAATCTCCCAGCCCACTCACTGCAATCATTTATGATATCCATAACACGGCAGAGAAGGAACTGGACCTACTTCTATTGATTCTGGTACAGAAATATCTTTTTAAGTGAGGTATAAACACCCCCTCCCTTTCAACAGATCCAACAAGCAGTCAGTTATTAAAGCCATTTCAATTCAAGTTTCATTCCATAATAAAACACTTTCAATGAACTAAAATTACGTCAACATTCCATAGCCTGGGTTTAACTTGGGTTACGAGTGCATTAGGTATTAGGCATTAGGCATACGATTCAACATACACTCAGGTGACCGCGCCTGATGACACCCATCGTTCATAAAATTTGTTCTCAGTTTCTTCGTTTCCCAAATTTTACGCGTCTTTATTAAAAGGTCCAGGGCAGAGAAATTCATGACAGTCAATTAGTATTTTCTCTCTAATAATTGTCAAGTTATTTTCTTTCCATTTTCAGATATAGAAACACTACAGTAGCTGGCCTGCTGATAACAAGAGGGGCAAGTGTCACAGCTGTTGACCCTTTTGGAAATAACGCCCTTCACCTTGCCCTAGAAAATGGTGAAAGTGATATCGCTGCCAAACTTATAAAAAGTAGCCCATCGCTGGTGCGTTGTCAAAATAATACTGGATTCACTGCATTACATTTCATTGCAGTTTCAGGAGATAATAAACTATGTGGCATTTTGTTAACACACGAAGGGGACGTCACTGCCAGAAATATCAATGGAGAGACACCGCTACATTTGGCAAGTTTGCTTAATCATGTAGAAGTACTGAAGCTGCTTGTTAAAAAAGGTATGTTCCACTTTTCCTTAAACACATTCATAACAAAAGCAGAAGCGGTGCCAGCTTCCGAAAAATGGGGAGGACTGGCGATCTACAGGGCCCGTGCCACGAATTTGAAAAGGGGGAGCAAGGCTTCTTACCCCTTTTATTGCAGTTTTAAACTACCATGCCACCACGCATTTTTTAAGATAAGATCACATTTCAACGTCAGATAATGTAGGGGACCACATATCCGTTACAGCTACAAAACATTTTGAAAAGAACAGACGAAGAAGAGACTTTCCAATAAGAGCGAGATGAAAAATTTTATTTGTTTTATGCAGATTAGAAAATCGACCTCGGTGAATACTGGAAGGACGCGCCCTTCCCAGTCCTCCCCGTGGCACCGCCCCTGAACCAAAGAGGTATTGCATGCTCACAATGCAATTTTATTTTTTAATTTTGTTTTGTACGTTGTATTGCCATTCGTCATTTTTCTATTTCGTGGCTTTTTTTAGCATAATATTTTCAAATCTCACATTAATGTGAATGCTGTCGAGAGGTGTGAATGTCAATTCTAGAGCATTTTGTTTTGTTTGTTTTGTAAACTCTAATCAAGGTGACAACATTTTTTCTAATGAAAAGGGTAATTTATCCGTCTTTAATCCTCAATAGATTAGCATTTATAGTTTAAAAAATGCATGTGAATTGCACTGTTTTATTGACATCTGCTGATTCATTTTGAAAATTTTGGCCATGAAGAATACCATCGTCAAATTTCAGAACATAAGAGCAAAGAAAACCTGACAAAGTTGCTGAGCATCCCAAGAAACGACAAGCTGACAGCACTTCACATAGCAGCTAAAATGGGCCACTTGGAAACAGTGAAATTCATGTTGAATATTGGTATCGATGTTAACCCATGCTCAGGCTCAGTTCCCAGTGCATTAGAGCTAGCAGCTGGAAATGGTCACACGGAACTCATGGAATTTCTGCTGCGTAAAGGTGCGACTGTGAATGCACCGGATAAATACATGAACACAGCCTTGCATGTGTAAGTTTTACTTTACTCGCAATCTGCGCATCAGGTTAGGCCTATGAAAACATCAAAATAGTCACCGATTTCCAAAACAAGGTGACTATTTTGATGGGAATAAGGCAAAAACACGATTTCAAAAGGCCTCGTCCCTCCTTTTAACTCAAGATATAAGGGATATGTGGTCATCCTACCCCCTGAAACTAGGTGCTCTTGGCAACTCGCTCAAATCTTTCATAGATAATTTAGTTCAAATGCTACACCTACAGAAGATATCTTGTCACTTCCAACTTATCAGCAAATTACAAATCGTACACCCCACTTTGTGAAGTTTTCTTGCGACGTCCCTGGGTTAGTACATCTTCCAATTTATATCTAATATATTGAAATGAAATGAAAATCTATCTCTTGGGCCAATAAAGTAAAATCTATACAGAAGTAAGAGATCCCTAGCAAAACCTCCTGGTAGACCAGTTTAAAGTTTGTTAAAGTTTTTCTTTTTGTTTCATATGTAACAAACTCTATTTATTTTTGAGTAAATCTGTAAATGAAGGGGTATCATGAATATTATCAAATGAATAATCAAATGAAGGAATTCGAAATGTCATACTTTGAATGTCAATCAAAAATCATATACTGAATATCTCTATAAGTTTCTTGTTTCCCAGTTCAAAATTAATGGCGAATGACTACTAAGTGCGTGGTAGACTTAATTTTGTCTTATGTGCTAGCGTTTATACATTTTCCCATTTTTTTAAGTTTTTTGACATTTCACGATGGAATTACGTGGCTCAAAGGAAATCAAATTGATTTTAAAATGTTTTGACTTTATGGCAGAGTATAGCTCGAGTTTTGAAGATTTTTTCTTTTCCGTTAACTTCAGTTTCTTTTCCATAAAAAAATCAGCATTACAAAGGAATTCGCCGTCTAGACATTCACATAATCCTGCTTGCTATTTGTGTTTTTCTAATCTGTTTTGCAGAGCTGCAATGAAAGGCAGAACTGAAGCAGTCCATTTGCTCATTTCAAATGATGCCGACATCGATGCTTGCAATGAAGACGGTTGGACTCCTCTATTCTTTGCAGTTTCGAAATGCCATATAGAAATAATTGACGTTCTGCTTGAAAATGGTGCGGATTGCAATAAGATTGATAAGTCACTTTCGTCTTGCCTGCATTATGCCGTAGAGGAGGGATGTTGCAGGGCAATTGATTTGGTTTTGCAGCATAGCGAAAAAGTACTTCTCTTCCAGAGGAATACAGAAGGTAGATTGGTTTTCCATGAAGCAGTTATGACCAATAATGATAGGGTATGAACGCTCTTTGATTGAATGTTTGCATTTCTTCAGCATGTTTTGACGTCATTCAACTTGGATATAAATCAGATAGTTTCTTTTTTTCAATCCCTAGATTGCACAAGGACATGACTGGAAAAAAAGTGCTCTCCTTCCTCCGTAACAAAATTAGGAGGAATGAGAGGGGAAAGTAGATTATCCTCCTTTCACATTCCCTTATCAAGTTATGTACCTTACCCTTTACTTATGTTTTTCTCTGGTATCCAGGGTAAGATTTTTCTTGCCTCGTGACAGATTACAGCATTCAAGGAGTGCAACGTATCCCTTCGATTCAGCATTAGCAACTTGGATTCAAATGTATCTTGTCTACTACAAGAGTGGTTTATTATAGGCGGAGGAGGTGTAAATCCCTTTTTCGACGATCTTTATTTGGTCAGCTAAAGCCCACAACTTACTTGATATGAACAAGCTCTATTGGGGCAAAGGAGGCAGTTGCTCCTAATCACTTTGGAAAAATCAAGCATTGAACATTTCTATTCAATGTATCTTTAATAATTTTCTGCTTTTGTCCCTTTTCCAGAATTGTTTTCTTCCTATGACCCAGACTCCAATACTATTAGTTTGGGGTCTGGAACTCAGGCTAAGATGGTTAAAGATATTCATGCCCGAGGGGAGAGGGCAAACAAAAGTGAAAAATGCCGTATTTAGGTTGTGGTTTAGTATGCGCTATCTGGAGCGAAGCACGTGCACGGTAGACCCTTTGACAATGAACACTCAGAGTAAAGGTTTTTTTATAGATTCTAGAATTGCTACTGAACCGCTGCTCTGGCACCATCATATACTACGATGAAAACAAAACATTGATTCACTTGGCTGCGCAGGAGGGGAAATTGTTCTGTTTAAAGAAATTGATTGACATTTGGCCAAGGGATTACCTGGATATGCAGGATAGCAACGAACGAACGGCTCTTCATTTGGCCGCAATGAACGGACATATGTAAGTGGTAGACGCATTTTGCCTTGTTTGAGGGCCACTTGCCTTCGGTCGCTTATAATGGATTGCAATAATCAATCAAGATTAGCTGCTCATTGATTGATATCTCGAAAATATACAATCTCGTCTTGAAAATGACTCTCCCATTAAAGCTCATTTTTAGCCCCAGTTTCTTTCAATACTCCAGCAGATGGTATGGCTCAGCATAATACGGGACTGAATATTATTTCGGTAGCTACCGAGTGCCTAGGCACATCATTCACAAATGAATAGATTGCATAATTTACCACGCTCTGAAATTAACAATAACCAAACTTTACATGCAGTTACAAAAATCTATGGCCTTAAAAGTACTAAGTCCCAGTTCTTATCGAACTTAAAATATCGTAAACGCAATTTGCGGACAAAGGCAGTGAAGTAAAAAAACTACGTTATAAGAAGCAAACTAACGAGGTTCAACAAGGCTGATTGATGGTTTTCTTTCATTCTACAAAACACCCCTTGCTCGTTACTGAAAAACTTACATTCGCAGTCTTAATTTCTTACAAAATAAATTTCTTACAACCTCACGTTGTATTTTCTACTACCTTTTATCTTGGTGTAGAAGTGCATGGCTGAATTTCAAACGCAGGATTTGTTTGCCTATGACAGCGAATGAATAATCAGAAAGGCATATGACTGTCATTTTGCTATGACAATAAAAGTGAAATGGTTACCAGAACACAATTCATAAAGCGAGTTGGTTGACATCAGAATGCAAATCCTCTATAGAAAAAGAACAAGCACAGAAAATTACTTGTAGATTCCAGATTTTTCGTTTTTGAGAAACTTAATGACCTGATGCCAATACTGGTAGTTTTGACCATGAGTGCTGAATACTACCAACTATAACATTAATTCTACCAATTACCTTGCCTTAATTTTTTTCATATACAGTGACGTATGCCGTTTACTAATTGAATCTAAAGCTGACTTGCATACCAGAGATAAAGATTCTAAAAAGGCCGTTGTGCTAGCAATTGAACGTGGTCACAATTACGTATTGAAGGAGTTCATAGATGCAAACATGGAAATGCATGGCGAAGAAGCAATCTCTGCAATATCAAATGGCAACGTTGAGGGGCATGTTATGTTGATGGACTACCTTGCGTACAAATTTGTTGGTAGAAAAGGCTACAGAGCTACAGGCCTTGCAAAAATGGTTTTTGACAGTGGGTACCCAGAAATCGTTGAAGCTGTGGTACAACATCACAGGTAAGCTAAAAAGTCTAGGTTCAGTTTTGCAAATTAATGTTGCAGATTTTTGAAGCTTCTTATGATTTAGGATGCCCAGTACTACTTATAATTATTTTTTATAATTATTTCACGGAAGGGGAACAGAGGTGGCGCCAGGAGAGAGCTAGGAGGGGCTACAGCCCCTCCGTCGGAAGCATCTAGCCCCCCCATCGGAGAAAATTTTAGGTTATTGTCGGAGCAAATTTGACAAAATAACATACGAAAACTGCTTATTTTAGTCATTTTAGGCCCCCTGTTGGAAGCTCCAACCCCTCTGTTGGAAGATTTCTGGCGCCACCTCTGAAGGGGAAATATTTCATTAATCTGTTAGCATAAAAGGAAAGTCTTCTCTTATATTGGCTAGATATTAAGGGTCTGAATCCCCAGCAACCAAGTCCCGATCAAAGATAGAATCTTATCTCCGTTGCACATGTGACAAAATAAGACTTGCACATGTGACAAAAATCTATGTCATGCCTTGTCAAACCTTCTAAATAGCCTCTTGAAAATTTTTTCAGTTTCCAGCCTTCCTTGCAATATCGACATATTCAAGCTGAAGAGTTCATGCCAACTTTAATTTCAAAATACCCAGATGTGGCCAAAAAAGTTCTTGATAACGGAATAACAGTATCAAATCATCAAATAGACAGCCCTGAACTGGAAGTCACGTACGACTTTTCTGCTTTGGAGTCGTCGCCTGACATGTCCGATGCGATTGTCGGTTGTGATCTTTATTTTGGACCAGGCTTGATGGCAGACTTGGGCAGATGGCAATGTCTTGCGCATCCCTTAACACAAAAGATGGTGAACATGAAATGGAATAAGCATGGCGCATTCGTTTTTTACACTTCTTTGTTGCTTTATCTAGCGTTTGTCATCATGCTCACGACGTTGGTAATCCTTGAGAAAAATTTGTAAGTCGAGTGAAACTTGGTGTTTGCTGCTTTTTATCGGTTACCCGATTTTTATCGGTTACAATGATGTGTTTTTTATCTATTAAATATCACGTGATTATTTTCTACAAAACTAAATAATTATATAACTATTAATATCACTGATTTTAAAGATTAAGATACTTTTAAAGATAGCAGTAAACAGAAGCAACGGAAAACTCGAAGCAATGCAATTTATATGAAATTTTATTTGAAAACTTCAGCAGAAAATATATGTATTTATATTTACATGTTAGCAAAAATTGAAAATTAAGAGATTAATAAGTGGTCATAAAATGGCATTGCATTTCCCTTTGGATGATGCTTTTTGTTAACGCTTCTTATTACTATGTTCCTAGAATTTTTACAGCAGGTTTCAGACTAAAAGTCTAAGATTGGAAATTTGCAGGGTGTTTCCGACCCGTTGCTAGCTATTTTGCTCAAAGTGGGTTGCCAGGTCCCATTTGCCGACAATGTGGGTAAGCCATTCCTTATTAGCTGACAAATTTACAAGAGTCGAACCATTACTTATTTGGGGGGGGGGTGTTATATATAGGGGTGTACCGGATCAGGATTTTCAGAATCCGGCCGGAACCGGATTTACCGGATTTCTTCGTGGAATATCCGGCCGGATTCTACCGGATAATCTGACCATTTATAGAATTTTCAGTAATAAAAAGTTTTGAGCCACTTTGCGAAAAAATGTATAGCGAGAAGATCAAAGAGACCTATTCAGGGTTGCCAGATTGAATTTACAAACGAAGGCTAGTCTGGTGAGCAATTTAAGCCAAAATGCTCATAAAAAGGCCAAATCAAAAACTCTCTCAAGAATCCATCGAACAGGCACTGGTTATCTTTCTACGCTTGTGCCTGTTAGATAATTTCTTAACTTTGATAAGAATCTTACTTTTTTTCAAAACCCTTTGCTAATATCAAGATAATATTTAGGTTAGTGATAAAATTTGAAATTTGGTTAACACTTTGTAGTTAACTACTAATTATTCTATGAATGTAGTAATTACTTTCATACACATTACTGATTAATTTTGGACGTCTGCTGAAAAGGCCAACAAGGTCAAATTTAAGTAGTAAGCAAAAAACAATTTTTCCAGGCAATCTAAATCTAAAAACCAAAAATGAAAAATTTGGCCTAAAAAGCCGATCTGGCAACCCTGGACCAAATTTGTGAATTATATCATCCAGTCTTCCTGTTTCGTGATGACGAGCACTTTCATTTCAAATCTGTTTTCAAGGCGCTTGTTTTATCGTTGGTATTGTTTAGTTCTGGAAAATCCATTTTTCATCACTGTATGAAGGGAGTCTGACTTGGTTTTCCAAATTTTCTTAGTTTTGATTAAAGTTCTGGAAAATCCGGCAACTGGCCGGATTTCGGAAACAAATCCGGCCGGAACCGGATTTTCAAAAAATCAGCGATCCGGCGCTGGATTATCCGGCCAACCGGATATCTGGTACATCCCTAGTTATATACCCCCATATAACGACGGCCCCGGGCCTTTTATCTCAATTTAAGTCTATTTTCTAATGAACTGCTTATTCTGAACATTTTTTGGCGGTACAAAACATTTTTTCAAAGCCATTTTCAAGAGCTGCTAATTCTTATGCATGTGAATTTCTTTGTCTTCTAGCGATGTTGAAACGGCAGTGAAAGCTGTGTCAAGTCAGAGTAAAAAGTCCACTAACTCTACTAGCTCTTGCATCCGCTGTAAAACAGAATCAAGGAATGCACCTTCGCAAACTACCAATGGCAAAATACTTGGTGGATTCGTATTCAGCTTTGCTCTGTTTCAAATTTTAAAGGAGTTGCTCCAAATAATCATATTGCGACGCCGCTATTTTAAAGACCCAACAAACCTGCTTGAGTGGTTGACGTATATATCTGCATTAGGATACCTCAATGGGTTCACTGTCAAAAAGTATACCGACCTCAAAGTTGAACTTTCGTTTGGAGTAACCAGCGTCTTTGTTGCTTGGCTCAATGTCATGCTGTTTTTAAGGCGGAGTCCATTGTTCAATATTTATATTGTTATGTTCACGCAAGTAACACTGACCCTTGTAAGGGTTTTATTCGTGTTCACCCCATTGCTGCTTGCATACGCTTTGACGTTTAATCAGCTTTTCATTGCCCAGCCATTGTTCAACAATGTTGGCAAGAGTCTGATGAAATCGTTCGTTATGTTTAGCGGAGAGCTGGAGTACAGTGACACTCTTCCAAACTCGATTGGCAAAACCGACAGTGCCTCCTCCCTTCTTCTCGTATACCTACCTATAGCTGCCTATCTTCTATTCGTATTGTTCATCATAATGGTTCCAGTGGCTCTCATGAATCTGTTGGTAAGAATCCTTTCTCAAATTTTTATTTGATAGTATCAAGTAACCACAACCAGAGTGTTTCATTCTTTTCAAAACAGCGTACGCAATTTTTTGAGCAATTTTAGAGAGTTTGGGGGGTTTTTCTCGAAAACAAATGAATTTTTTGCTTAAGGCAAACAAGATTTTTTGCTGAGTGATATGCCCCTCGGATGGTAGTTGCAGTTAACGCTTTGGGCTCGAGGTACATACAAAACCATTCGATAATGAAAGAATAATACACATCACAATAAAATAAAACAATTGAGAATGTATTGAGTTGAAATACTTTACGAAGGCGCTCTCTCAGTAAATGTAGTACATCTGCTAAAGACACTGCTGCAGCAGCCAGAGGTACAGTGTTGATAAATGCCCAATTGGTTTTCGAGCATTTGAGAAACTTATTATTGTTTAGGCCTGATTTTTAGATGTCAATATTTCTTTTCAGGTTGGTTTAGCTGTGGGTGATATAGGTAGTATTCAGAAAACAGCAGAATACAATGTTATGAAACAGCAGGCACAATACATTCAGGACTTGAACTCAAAATGTCCTAAGTTTATCCTGAAATGGACCTACAAGAGATGTCATACCGAGAAACCAAACCAAAAAACGTGGTTTAAAAGGTAAGAGCTGCCTGTGCCATTCTGATCAAATTCTATTTGTAAAGAGTATATTTTAGAGAGCAGACGACAGAAACTCTTTGAAAAACAAAACAAGGATTTTCTTTTAACTTGGGCAAGAGCTGCTATTTTGTGAATTTAAAGCATTTAAATTTCAGACATTTGATTGACAAAGCAGAGATTTTGGATGCACGTTATAAAATGCAATAATTATGCTATATATGAAGTTCAGAGATGGTAACTGTTCTTACAAAATACCATCTTTCAATCTGTATCTAATAAAATGGTGTAAGTCTTATTAGATGTCATATCTAATACATACTGTACCATTCCGCAAGATATCTGTTACAGTAGCCTGAGATCAGGGCGGAGAAGGCGGGGGCGGAGGAGTCGGAGAAAGAGCCTCTTTTTCCTTTCTTTTTCTTACTTTTATGAATGAGTACAGATAGGAGTGGTGTGGGAGATCTTGTAAGTGAGTAAGTAACCGTCAAGGGGATACTGATGTTGATTATTTCGAAAAAATCCTAGATCATTGTGGCAGTTTTATAATGTTTTATTTTGTTGAATTATCTCAAATAAGCCCCCTCTCAAATCAGCTCCCCTCTAGGACTGAAAAAAGTAAGCCCCCACGAAGCCGGATAGAGCTTTTACAGTAAATTAAAACGAATAAGCCCGAGAGATCGTACTACACTGTCAATGACAATGTCAACGAGAGTAAATTCACGCCGAGACCCTATATTCTGATATTTTTCATTGTAAACTTTATCATAGAAAAACCCAATCTTTCTTGCTACTGCTCTTTACTGAGCTCTTATTACGTACCAGACATCTCCTTCGTACATAGCAATTTTCGTATTTCCTACAATGTAAAATTGGCGAAAGTTTATTCCTACGAAAGTTTCTCAATTGTGATAATGTGCAAAATAATCATCAATACTTTTGTAATTTAGAAGCTAAATAGAAAAGCCTCATGTAAACCAGTGTTTGTCTAAATGAATTCGTTCAAGGGTAGTCCCACTATTTCTATGAATGATTAAAGATATTATCAAAGAGTCTGTTGCGAACCTTGTGTTTGACGTGTTAGACTTTGGACAGAAAATTCTCCAGCTTTTGATTTTATTATTTATAAGACACAAGCTGATTACATATTACTTTGCTACTGCACTCAAAATCTACGCCCTCTCCTCCTTCCTCCTCCTACCAACAACTCTCGACGACACGTGTTCATTTTCCTAGGGACCTGGGGCGAGGTCTCTAACAGAGTCAAGCTACTGTCTAAATATTTTTGGACGGTATTCTATATATTTCATTTCTGATTTTAGAGTTACATCCTTCTCAACTACCACACAAAATGAGTATCGAGAATTTTTAGAAAGAAAACAGAAAAGCCACTCAAACAACGGCAAAAAAGAAGAAGAAGAGAAGCTAGACCAGATTCAAAAGACACTTGAAGGGCAGACTCTTGCTATAGATGCACTGAAACATCAAATAGAACAAACCTCAAGAATACTGAGAGACATCAATCTGCGCTAGAATCTGGGGAGTGTATGGTGAAATAAATCGTATATAGTAGTGGTGTTGTAGAGGTGTTGAAGAAGAAGAAGATAAAGAGGGGAAGCTAGACACGATTAAAACACACTTGAATGGCAGACTGTTGCTATCGATGACCTGAAGCATCAAATAAAACAAACCTCAAGAATGCTGAGAAACATCAATCTACGCTCGAGTCTCGGGAGTGTATGGTGGAATAAATCGTCTATAGTAGTGGTGTTGTAGAGGTGTTGAAGAAGCAGAAGAGGGGAAGCTGGACACGATTTAAAACTCACTTGAAGGGCAAACTCTTACTATCGATGACCTGAAGCATCAAATAAAACAAACCTCAAGAATGCTGAGAGACATCAATCTACGCTCGAGTCTCGGGAGTGTATGGTGGAATAAATCGTCTATAGTAGTGGTGTTGTAGAGGTGTTGAAGAAGCAGAAGAAGAGGGGAAGCTAGACACGATTTAAAACTCACTTGAAGGGCAAACTCTTACTATCGATGACCTGAAGCATCAAATAAAACAAACCTCAAGAATGCTGAGAGACATCAATCTGCGCTAGAGTCTGGGGAATACATGGGGGAATAAAGTGTCTTTAGTGGAGATTTCGAAGAAGAAGATTAAGGAAAGCTAGAACAGATTCAAAAGACCCTTGAAGGGAAATCTCTTGCTATCAATGCCCTGAAACATCAAGTAGAACGAAATTAAAGAATGATGCTTAAAAACGTATACACACTTTTTGATACAAAGCATTTCTTTAACTGTGATTGTCGCAATCTATAAAATTTTTGTTACAGATGTTTAGAAGTGAAAATACAGCATTAAAGTTAAGTCTGTTGCAAGTTATATAAATTATTTTCATATATGATTTACATATAAAGAACTATTTAATTTAGTTTTAGTTTCATCAAATCTGGACAGTAAATACGCTGGTAAATTTCGCGATACCTTAATGCTAAAAGCTTAGTTTTCCTTAAAAGTGTCATGAAGTAAAACTTATTCTTGTTCATCTTCTTTCGTCATGCATAGGTATATATGCGTTTCTGCATAGGTATGCGTCATAGGGCGAGCAGGGCCTTGCTGTGACGGTCAGGTAGATCGGTCTAAATATCTAGAATTCTAGATGGTCATTTAACTTATGCATTAGCTTTACATTTATGCAATAGCTCTGGTGCTCCGATGCCGTATCTTTTCTCCTGTCTTCTTTTGTAAGACGCTTGCGGAATATTTCCTCTTTGATAATATGCTACAGACTTGTGATTTAAACTGTGTCAATGTCAATGTTCATATGCAAGTGCCGGACATTTTCCAACAATTTTAGATGTTACTTCAGAAACTTTCGACAATGAGTCACCCAATGTGGATAACCAAGAGCACAATGTGAGCGCCGCTTTTCCGGTTGGATTAAAAAAGTAGCAAGTCACGGACAAGGGTATAGTACTACGAAACTTAATAAACTTTGCTAAGCTCATTCTTTATCGCCATCAGTCTGGTCTAGTAAATTCGATAAGTAAAGGCAGGACCGTCGAGAGAGGGGGGGGGGTAACCAGGGTAGTTACCAGGGGGCCCGGGGCCTTGAGGGGCCCGTAGAAAATAAGGTATGTATTTTTGGCTATGAATTTTCAATTAGCAGCATTGGCAGGGCGGGCCCATGACCCGATTGATATTCGAAATTTAATCTTTCAACATGGAATCAACAAGCTGGTCTATGATGTGTGGAATTCCTATAAACGTAAAAGTAAATCTTCCATTCACGGCGTACGCCAGAGAAAAAGCACATGCGAAGAACCAAGACAAATCCAAACGCTATAAAAGTCTTTTTCAAAATCACTAAGCGGGATCACGATCCAACCAACCCCTGCGATGTCATCTTGCAGGCACAAGTCTGGTGCTCAGAAAAGGCAGGAAAAAAAGATACGAGAAAAAGAAGCAAAGAAGGCCTCTCGCACATTGTTTGAGGTAGGTGCTTACAAAAGAGACAAGGAATGTGATTCAACTTTAAATAAACCTGGTGAAAGCTCTGTTCAAAGCACCGCTGAAGAAGAAGAAGACACAAACGGCTTGGCTGCTTCGGTAGACCATGACACCACAGAAAGTAGAGAAAACACTACTGATTCATCATCAAATCAAGATACTGTTCATAGTGGATCATCTAGTTTTGATGTCGGCACATTGACCGGATTTCCAACGATAAAGGAGTTAGAAAAGGTTGTTAGAACTGGTCATTTGCCTCATCCTCCAGAGTTTCCCAAAGATTGCGACGGCCAGAAATTTCCAACAACGGTCCTAAATGTGAAGCAGCAAAATGGGGAGGTAGTAAGAAGCTGGCTTGTTTTCTGTCCTACAAAGGCTGCACTCTATTGTTTGCCATGCAGGTTGTTTGAGCACACTATTAATAATGGTTCAAAATCAAAATTGGCTTGTCCTTATGGTTGGGGAGCGAACGACAGCTGGAAAAGATTGTGGGAAAAGATTAAGGATTTCGCCATGAGGAAAGCAAGAAAAGCAGTTTTTTAAACATTAAATTAACTCTGATTGTTAAACTGGTTTGTTTTAATGATTTGTTTTATATAGTCACTAATTACATGTTTTGTTAAAGACCTTAAAATACAAATTCAAGTGTTTCAGGGGCGTTGATTTCAAAATTCATGCCTTTTACAGTCCATCTAACTGCATTGCTAAGGGCGTAACCCAAAAAAGGATTTTGCAGCCTTAGACGGTGGGGCCCCATGACAGTCCCAGCCCTGGGGCCTGGCCCTGGCGCCTGGCCCTGAGTAAAGGCCGATTTTCATTTGACATTTTTTGCGCGCGCAGACGTAGCGCCAAAGTCTGAGCATGCGTAATTAAAATCAAGTGGTTTTGATTTTGCGTCTGCTGTGAGCGCCAGAAAGTTGAAAGGGTCTCAACTTTTTTGTGCGCTCGGCCACTTGACAGCAGCACTTAGCTACGCATGCTCAAATTCGGGGGCCACGGCAACGCGCACAAATCAGTGGAAACCAAAGTTGCTTATCATAATCATAATATGCATCACTTTGACTTAGGCTCTGTAATTTTCAGGGCCTTTTTTAACATACTAATTAGGGGGCAATTGCCCCTGCAGTCCCAATCACTTTCTATTGTTTTAAACAATAGGCTATTGTCCTTCTTCTAAAATAAACAAAGGTTTGCCCCCACAGTTTATTTCCCTTGGAGTAGGTGATTGTATTTTTCTCGTCAATCAACATTTCGCTGACAAAAAAGATGACGCCTTTATTGATCTCCCTGTATCACAGATCACCGATGAGAAAGGAATATACCCGACAGCCTGATCCATCCTTTTAGTCTTCTTTTGAAAATTCAGACCAAACTTTAGTTCAAGTCATATGGCTCAGGGCAGTGGCGAAGCCAAAGATCCTGCTGGTCCTGAGCAGGACAAAGAATTTTCAAAAAATTTGATTTTCTAGAAACTAAATACAAATATTTCTTCTTTGCCCCCCATTAAATATGTAGAGCGCATCTCCGCCAGCATATACAGATATCCCCTGCATTTTGGTTCTCTGAATTTTAGTTCTATTCACAAGCATAATACACTATGTTTGGTTATGATGATGATAATGATAATAATAATAGGAATAAGAAAGCTAATTCTCCATTTTGGAGAAATTATCCTGCAGCTTGGTACAACAAACTTGATGCTACGTATAAACAAACTATTTTTTGAACAATTAAGTCCCTTGGTTTCAGAAGTATTTGTAGGGTTTTGTTGATTGTTCATGGAACATTGGCTTTATTTGTAGCTAAACAAGTCCTTTTTTATATTTGTAGCTAAACCTTGGCTTTTTGATAGAAATTTTGATAATCCCATAGGTGTTTAATGTTTTCCCCATGGAAACTACTTTTTATGCAGTGGATCAGTCAATTTTCCTTTGAAGTTTGATATTAGGTTTGCCATGTTTTATTTTCAGTAGGGATGAGGCTTCCCCATACCTCAAATATTCTATCATTTTATAATTTAAACCTTTTACGAACCCGATATCAGTTTTCCTATTATTTTTAACTTTATTTCTATGATTATGGTCAATTTTTCTCTAACAATACTTTTCCATTGTTTTTTTGCTAGCTCTTTGATCTGACATTCTTTTAAATTGATGTCGGTCATCTTAGGTCGCCCAATTCTTAGTTTTATAGGCACCTAGCAACTTTCAAGGATTTTTGCATCATGAGGCATTGAGCCTCAGGGTGGCCCTGTAGAGAATCTCACTCTTTTTTTATAAGAACAATTTTATAAGAAGGTGAGTCTCGAAATTGGTCAACAGTTACGATTAAATTAAGAATAATAGAGCCTAAAATTTTCGAAAAAATCAAAAACAGTTGAAGAAGAAGAAGAGGGTATGCTAGATCAAATTCAGAGGAGGCCGAGGGCTGGAGCCCCCCAATAATGGTCAAACTGTAGTATGTTTCCTCTGTAACAGTGTACTGAATGAGAAGGAATACAATGGGCAGCCCTCCCCCCCCCCCCCCAATATGAATTTCGTTCCGACGGCACTGCAATGAACATTTGACGTTATCAATGTTTCCTTTTTCAAGTTTGTTCTTTATTTACTGTAGTAGTTTTTTGTCACTAAATAAGGTGTTCTACTATTTTTTAAATTTTAGCATTATTTTTTGAGTTGTTTGTATTTATATTTCTACTGCTAAAACTCAAGATAATACAAGATTTGGAAGATACTGCTTCCAAAACTCATGTGTGCCAAATTGACGTGTTTAAAAAAAGGGTACGCAAAATGGTACAAATGCCGCTGCGCAGCAGATGTCTCTCAGCCATAACATTTAGGTTACAGAAAATCGACAATGGCGGATGGATAGGTCACTTCTCAAACACTAGAATATGGATGAATCCGCATTTCTAGCAGCTGCACAGTTTAACGATTAATAGTTTCAGAATTAAGAGTCTTTTGGGCTCATTGGATTTTATAAAACTGCCAGACTAGCTGGAATTTGGTGTCTCAGAGGTTTGAAAGATGGGACACGGAGAACTGTCGGATGGAGAATCTGATGTCGAGAGCCGAAGGCTTTTAGTTGCTGAGTTAAGAAAGGTGTTTCCAGACTGCTCAGAGGAACTGATTCTTGAACTAACCTATGAGGTATGTTGTAAAGATTGCCTCAGCTAAATTCTTAAACGATGCTTGATTTTTAGACAACTGAAACTTTCTTTTACTTACAGAATTTGACAGACATTTTGGTGCCCACTAAAGCCTATGAACCAAAAGCTTACTTGAAAATGTGGTTATTTCTAAATAACAATGTCCATGCCTGTCACGACCCCTTTTGGCTTGGCCTAAACTCTTGCCTGTCAAATGTCTGTCAAGTTCTGCAAGGGTTTGCTACAGTACTTTTACATTTATGCGTCATATTTTATTTAATTGTATTGTAGTTGTGTAGAATTTTATGTAGGATGGATTGATAATTATATGAAACTTGAAACCTTCTCATTATTCACTGCTTGGCTATTAAAGGCTTGAGAGCATTAAATTCACAGAAGAACTATTGGCTATGCCTCCCTGGTGCATATTTTGCAGCAACATCTTTCTTGATCAAGTGCTAATTGATTTCCAAACCTTTGTAAGGAGGAAGAAATAAGTTTTATGATGCAACAGCATCATACTGAAGTTAGTAGTATCATGCCGAAAGCTGACAACCATAGCACTCAATAACAAAATGGCTGTTCATGTACAGATGGGTAGCCATGGTTCCTGAGTTTTTTGTGCTACCCATAGCACAAACAGATGTAGATTTACTATTAGTAGCTGTAGATCAATTAATATTTAACCAAATTAAAACACCAGGAGATGTTTTGCATTAAGTTCCTATAAGTCTGAAGTAATTGTTGATTTAGTGACTGTGTTATTAAATGCCTATTTTGTTCGCTTTAGAATAAACTAGCTACCAGCCACACCAAACCATAGTTCATAACTTCAGATGCAATAATGGAGGACAAAAATATCATTCCTAGATTTAACCACAAGCTATCAGTGCTTTGAGACATTAGTCCAGGGTTTGCTACAGTAATTTTTCTTAAATATGTTAAGTGTACTATTACTTGTATACCTTATTGTAAATATTGTAGCTTTTGTAGTTAAAGTTTCAAATATGTCTGACTCTATCCACTAAAAACTCTTGTAACCAGGGGCGGACCCTTGGTCAAATATTGGGGGGGCAAGCCTATTGTTTTAATAAGATGACGTCACATTTCCCATTGTTTTAGAACAAAAGACCATTGTTCTCTAAAGTATTGGGGGGGTGATCGCCCCCCCCTCGCCCCCCCAAGTGTCCGCCACTGCTTGAAACTAGAGAAAACTTTGTTTCCCTGGTCAGGATTCAGTTTTTACATTTATATTCAATGTTAATTAAATTCAGCACATTCAATATATTAATGAGAAGTCTTATCTTTCAGCATCACCAAGACATTGATCAAATAACGGAAGTGCTAAAGGAGAAAAGTAGCCATTTTAAAAACCGTCATCATGGAGCTTTTCTTGGAATGACATCTCAAGGAGGAAATTCTTATTTTGGTCAAGAAAAGCATTTGCAAGTAGCAAATAGTCAAGGGAATCCTCAATATTATATGCAACCGTATTACACTCTACCCTCTGAACCTGGATACCACAGGTATAATTACACAGATGAGCATATCAATCCAGCCACTTCCTATTTACAAAGAAGAGCGATATCTTCAGATAGGTTGACAAATAGAAGGACAGATGTCTCAGATATTAGGAGGGAGAGGTAAAAGTTAAAATCATAAATGTAAATGCTTCAGACTAGCTAAGACGTTAATATATAAATTCAAGCAAGAGGAGTAATTGTGGGAAATTTGGGTAAAGTAAACATATTTTAAAGCTTTTAGCAAGGTTGATGTGGATGGAAAAAATGTGGTTTAAACCAAGTAAAATACCGTATGAGATGAACTAAGTATAAAAGTAAAACAACAAATTTTTGTGACCAATATCTGTATCATTTTTATAAAATCTGTCTTTTATTGACTTTAAAATAATGCTTTGACTCTTGAAAAGGTTATCTTTGGATTTATAATTGAACTATATATGAACATTTTCCCGGAAGTAAAATAACCTTTTCTGCATACTTAGTCAATGAAGATAGAATGTTTTTCTATCTATGTTAAGTTATTCTTTAAAAGCAGTATCTCTTGCTATGAATCTGATATACAAAGAAGGAACAGCCTCTAAATGTTTTTGTGGTTATTCCCTTTAAATTAACTTTTTGCCTAGTTTGTTTTAAATTCTTGGTTAGGTAACTTTCTTACCTTTGAAAATTTCTGGATAGTGTTTGCATACCATGGCTGTATAGCTAACAAAAAGTAGATGACATATATCTATAAGCAATTTTTATTTTAGGCAATTTAAAGTAAATAAAAAGTCATTTTGCTCGCACCCAGGGTCACTAAATTTCTTACACCCAGGGTCTCTAAATTGCACCCCCTAAATTCTGAGCACTGTTCTGTTTATCTTGGCTGTAATGATAATCTCTCATTATTTTCTTTCCTGTCTATTATAGTTACTTTTGGTGGCATGTAGTGTTGCCTGGAACTTCAGTATTGTGCTTAAAAATCCTTCAACAATTGTCTAAGTGTGAAATTTTGACTACATTTCTTGGTCTTGGTCTTGGTCTTGGTACCACAAGGTCTTGTTTTGTTGTCATACATTTCATAAACTTGCGATTGTGGTTTATTCTTACAGCACATTCATAAAATCTTTCTGATTTTATTTGCTATTCTGCATTGTATTTCTCTACATTTTTCAAATATATCATCAATTTGTAGTGTCTATGTTTTGGTAGTTAAGTTATATATCAAATCATTGAAATGATGGTAAAATTATTAATACTGGGTGCAGCGCTTGAAGGCTGGTGGACATTTATTGATTGGCAAATGCTGAAACCAAAAAAAGTATCTAACAGAATGGGTTGTTACTTGTGCCTTTCCTTTTGATTTCTTCAGTTCAATTAGCTCTTCAAACTGATTATCAGACCATCTTTTTTAACAAAAATGTTCAGTTATTTTGGTTTTGATGTGTTCTATGAAGTGAGATACTGCAATCCACTAGGTGAAGGTCACATTTTGAAGCTAGTCAGGAGTGCTATATGTTTTCAACTGTTTTGCAAATTGAATGCTTCTGAAAACTAAAAAAATTTTCTACTAGAGCTCCTTTGATTTGAAACACAAACATATTTTAGGGATATTGTTATCAAGATCTATTTAAATATTAAGCTATATAGTAGCAAACTAAATTTTTTGAAAAATTGTACAGATACTGGCCATTTGTGATAACCAGTCAAATCCCTGGTGAGTGGTGGGAATTATAGGAGAAGGTTTGCTGGCAACCCCTCTTCTCCATTCAATGTGACTTGAAAAAATAAACTTCCAAAATCTTATATTTTGTATAGGAAATAAGAGGAAAATGTTCCTCTAACCAAAAACTTCCAAAATTACTGAGCTTGCCCACCGATCAAAATGTACTGTTCCAGATGATGTAAAAAGCTGCTGTAACCTGCTGGCCTTTTATTTGTAACATAAATATGTTGCATATAGGACATGTAGGCGTCTGCTGAAAGGAGAATAACAAATATACACAATCAAGTGTTACCTTTATATAGCAAGTTTATTGCCAATATTCCACCACGTGATTTTACATAGTAATAAGTTGAATGTGTCTAGCTGTTGATAAATGAAGGCGCGAGTAGGTTTACAATGAAACTGGGCTTAAAGCAGACTGGCATCTTATTAATTGCAAAAGAAATATTTCGAGATCCTACTGTATTGTTTGTTTTTAAAAGTTGTTTAATGTACGCAGATTGTCACAGATAATTTGTCAACGAAATTTGACCTGCATGTGAGAGTGAAATTGAGTAAATTAAGAATGCAAGGAAAATGATAAAGAGAGATATATTATTAATAAATGTAGATTGTGAGAGATCATTAAGCGTAAAGAAGAAAAAATTTGCCTAAAGCAACATTTACGTCGAACCAAAATCTTCACAGCCCTTGCATGTTGAAAGTCCATTTTGGTTTCTACAATTCAAACGAGAATATGACTAGAAAATAAATCTAGAAAGAGACTGCCACGTAAATCTGTGTTACCTGCGATCCTTTTTTAGGTCTGCAAGTGATGTGACACACTCTGTGGGTGAACCGATGCTGCGATCATATGGCCCTCCGTACCCATTTGTCGACCCAGGTGGGTTTTCAGCTCCCCATAGACCACAGCGGATGGATAGCAATTCAATAGAACACGACGATGACCGTGAGTATCCCTTCGATTTCTAATCATTTTTCATTACTGCTCACATAACACCCGTGCCGTTGTGCTTGCAGGAGTATGCAGGTCCCATTTGCCGACAATGTTGGTGAGCCATCCTTTATTGCCGACAGATTTGAAAATTTACCGACTTAGCCCCTTTGATGGCATAAAGCTCCTCTTTTTGTTACAGAACTTTTAAAGGGGGATGTCACACCCTTCACCCCCCTCCCCCATAACCATGACCCTTCTTTTCGGTGAAAAATATGCTTACCGCTCAATCAAGCATTATCTTCAAGGGGTAATGGGGATGAAAATACCCAAGAAGGAAGTAAGGCATTTGTGTTGCTAGTGGACACTCAGAAATACCTGTACCTTGTATTTACCTCATTTATATTAATAATAGGTTAAGCCTTATTATAATGGGTTGAGTGCTAAAATCGTACCTGTGCTTGAATTTACGTCCTTCGATAGCGCAATTCTCTCAGTACAACTGTTCCTTTGCACCTAGTGCCGTACATCTCTCTGTTCCTGAACTTAAATAGCAAGGTGCTGCCTATCATTATGCAGATTAGCACCTGCTCCGGCGTCTTCTTTCAAAGAGATTTTCATTCTTCATTTGACTTGCTCAGAGCCAACGTTTGATCTGCTTTTGAGCTATATTACCAACAGTATTTGAATAAAGTCGGTCATGCTTCGATACAAGTACCGAAATGAAGGTAGACATTTCCTAAAATTTTTTGCTTTATTTATTTGTTTGCTGTTTTTAAGTCAATAAGACTTTTACAAGCAGTTTTATATTCCTGATTAAGGGCAATCCAAAGGAAGGGTTTTCATTTTGTAAACTTTGTTCACAGTGAAGATATATTTTGGTAACTTTCAGCTGTTGTTTCTACGACAGGTATATCTTTCATGGTTATATCACGGTTATAAAGACGTTTACTGTATTTTGCTAGAATGTTGCAGTAATTAATGTTAGTGATAATCTGACAGTCGTTGGTCATCAAACGGAATTTATGGATTAATAAATATGTACGTTGCGTGTGGTACTTCATCCAGAATAACGATAATATAGTTAGCAAATAAATTTAGTACCTGAATGAAAATATAAAAGTTTGATTGTTAAAAACACGACGTTTCGAGCATGTACTCGTTATCGAGTCATCGGAATTTATGGATTTTCTACAAAACAGTCAAATTATAGGCGCTCTCTGCTAAAATCTCTCCATAAAAGTTTGAAATTTAAAATTTTCTTACCTTGATCAATTCTTTGTCTCAAACTACGCTCTACATTCACGTCGTTTAGATAGGGTGTCTCAAAACTACAATTTGAACCGTTTCCTATGTAGTACCAATAGTATAAAGTATCTTGCAACATTGTTATTTGTTGAATCGAACATTCTTGCTAGCCAATGCATGAACCGCAGCAGCTTTGATCTTCTAAGGTGGCGCGCTGTGTCTTGTGTCTGAACTGTCAGAATTTTAATAAACTGACGTAGGTTGTGCAGGAGGCAAGGTCTAGGCTTTTTGTCGTTAGTAGGGGGGGAGCAAACTCATGCATAGAAAGGATAAAACATGAAGAATAGTGCTACTCAACAAACGGACAGAATGAGCATCTATTTAACAACTATCAACCAGTCTTCAGAAAGAATTTAAAGTTTAATACAAGACAGAGCTGTACACCGGCTGGAAAATTATGCTACTGTTTAACCCGTCGGTCTTAAAATGTTATTTTGTTTTGTTGTGTATATTCAATTGTTTATTTTATATCTATATTTGTATTTAGTCGTTAGTTGTTTCAAATTATATGTAGTTCAAATATATTCAATTTGATTATTTGGTTGTTACAGCTCGATAATGTTCTGAGTTTATAACCCGTTTTAGTGTTTCATGCTTATTATTTCTCGAATTTTTTGTCTTTAGATGTTATACAACGCATACAACTGCAAAAGGAATCTTTGGCAAGGATGAAAACGGTATAAACGCTCGAAGTTATTACTTTTGGGGGAAGAGCAATAACAGGGTTTTGTAATGGATGAGTCACCCCCTCCCCCGTCTCTGTCGTTAATGATTCCGCCGACGCTAGGGGCTTCTGGCGTGCGCGTAATTTGTATTTTACAGACGGGGAATTGCTTTGAAAATGCTATTATTTTCCGAAGTTGAGCGACGCTGCTCTATTATCTTATGTTACGTCAAAACTTTTTAACGGGCACTACCAAATAACGGAAACCTCAAGAAATAGTCAAAATATTTTTCCAAAAATATCTTTTTGTAGTCAAAGCTCTTTTCAAACCCCGAAAAGACAGAAATGTCCCTATGATTAATAATGAATTTTGCCATGCAGATGCTCGCTGTATGTGGTCCTCTGCAGTGGAAAGTTAAAGCCGGCCTAGTTTAGCGAATCAGATGTGTAGCTGCCCTTTTATAGCCCCATGACATCGATGCAGAGGCTGTCTATGCCAATCAATAATTGAATCTTGAACGTTTGCTAGCAAATTTATATAACCATCAATAATTTTTCCGTTATTCCAAGTTTTTTTCTCCATCAAACAGTCCACCAAACGATTTTGCCATTCAGATAAGCCTTTTCGTCTGACATTCCTAAGATCATGAATTGCCCGACATAATGTGAAACCCATAGATTTATTTCAGATGTGGATGAAAATCCTTTTTTAATATGCAAATGCTAGATCTTTTATTTCGTAAGGAGTTTAAAAGGAAAATTTAGTGTGTTGGCTTTTAAGTAAAAGAATCCCGTAATGCCGCAGAGCAATAAAGATTCATCTCCCTTCTGGACTTTTCTGCATTTTCATTTCAAAACCTATATCGTCACCCTGTCATAGTTCCGAATGCTATTTTTGGAGTCCTAGAAAAGAAATTGATTGGAACCAAGCTTTCATTTATTTCCTTATGAATGGACCAGACCTTCTCCACCTATTGAGGATACTAAGCTAAGGTAGTTCATAGTTATCGGGCACAAAATATATAATTTCAGTCTTTCAGTCAGGTTGATTGGGGTCTTATAAGCTGGTCTTTGATACTTGGATGTAAATATAGGCATTTCACCTTCGATCATTGTTCTGATTTTTCTTGGAGTGCTAGGAGTGATGGAATGATGATTAAACATTTCGAGTCTGACAAGATTGTTCCATGATGCACTGGAAATAGGTAGTGCGAGAGAAGTTATTTGGTCATTTGTCTATTCTGTTAGCAAGCATTTTTGTGATTCAATACAATCTTTTCTAATCGATTATGTGATTTTTGCATTGTATTGCAATAAGAAATTTGACATGAACTGTTATCTGGAGTGCTAGGAATTATGAAAGGACGATTAAACATTTCGAGTCTGACATATTAGAAATTTGACAAACTTTACTTAATTCCTTTAGAAATTTGAGACTTTGCGAAACGATGTGGCACGTATCCGACAACAAATAGCGCAAGAAGAGCAGGACTTGAATACTACCTCGAAAGTACAGAGAAATCCAACTGTAAGTTATTATAAAATGTACTTGTTTATGGTATGTAATCTGGATAAAATCGTTGGCCTAATAAGTGATTTGCAAATGTTTACTATGCAATTTTTCAAATCTCTTGGATTCAATTAATGTTGTGTTAGTATTTAAACTCAAATGAAATTTGTCACACAGGGAGTGGGTATTTGTTGCTTCTGGAAAACAGATACGTGATTAGAGTTTTCAATTGCAAGATTTTTAAAGTATAATAGGCAGGGTTTCTGCTAAAATCTCATCTATAGAAGAGATTAAAGTAGTTTCATTTTCACGTATAGGAATTATCAGATAAAATTTTTTTGCTGGAATGATAAAAAGTTAGCTGATATATGCATAAAAATGCACTGTACTTCAAATAGTATTCGATTCGCCGAGCCTATCCAGATAACAGTTCATGCCCTTTACAAGTCTGTGGGATGGAGTTAAGTTGCCTGCTGGCGAAGAGTGGAGTAGGTTGTTGACGAATGTACTATGGATTCCATCGCTCAAATTAGTTCTGAAGCCTGTGTTCCAGACCCCTGAATAAAAATATCTGGGGTCTGGGATTCAAGCTATCGTTTTTGCAAAACAACGATATTGGATGCAATGTGAAGCTTTGTGTAACTGCTTTTCTTCACAGTATTTCATTGATAGCGTTAGCGCTAATTGTAGGATGAACAGTAAACCTAAGTTATGTCTCCAATTTTTTGTGCGAAATCGCCCATTATTTGTAAATAATTTGAAGAAATGCTTTTGTATGTGGAGATCGTCAGAAGTGTATTTTCTTTTCTTGTCACCAGATTCTTAGAGGAATTTAAGTATGACTTTACATGTCGTAAAAAGCTTTGGTTTTTTATCAAATTCAAAATTTGTGCATTGACCAGTCCTAAACATTTAGTTTGCAGAGATTAGACTTTTTATTGTTTTATATTGTTATTCACTATATGCTTGAAAGAAAATTCTAATTTATTTGATAAAGCGAATTCATCTTTTTGTATCTTTTGGGATTAGAATCTGATTTTCAGTTAAATATAATCTGCAGCCAACCTATCAAAGAATACATTACAGTTATTTTGTTGATGGTACATTACACGCTGTAAAATGCCAGTCTAAAGTTTTAACTGTTCCAAACATCTGTTTGAAGTAAATGCAGGAACTTGAATTGGAAATCTTGAGCAAAAATAAGATTTTATCTTAAACATGATCCGTAAGAGTCATGTTAATACATATTCCATGTTTTTCTTTCGCCTACAGGAAAAAGATGTCCTAAAGTTGCGGCAAGAAATAGAAATATTGAAAAGAGAAGTCCTAGAAGCTAACTCAAAACTAGAAAATGCGAGAGGTAAACTATTTGGATTCACACTCTTTCCTCGAAAACTAATTTTTCAGTTCAACTGCTAAATTTAAGAGCGGAATGTTTATGCTTGGTTGCTTTTAATAAAGTCACGAATAACGATGCCTTTTCGTAAATAGGCAAATATTTTTGCTGTTCAAGTCTATAAAGACGCAAAGTAAATTAACTAACACAAAGTAAATTAACAAAGTAAGTAAGGCACTTAATTAATTTCAATTTAATTAACAAACAGTTGAGGAGGGTACAACAAGGGTGCAAAAAATTTGCATCTGGCCATGTTTAGCTTTTCAAAATAGAATTTTCAAGGATCCTCATAATTGGATCTCTTTAGTGATTCAAATAAATCTTTAATGATAACTTACCTTGCCCCTCATCTTGCTAATGTCTTTTGAAAGCCAAAATGTTTTTCATGCTTATCATCCTTAGCAGGAACCGTATCTTCTCCATGATTCGACCTATCATCACCATCAATTTGAATAGAAATTGTTTTAGCTCTGGAACACAAGCCATATTCCTGTGATGTACTCTCTTTCTTACATTTAAAAAAATCGTTTTTGTATGGTATGTTAACAATATGACTTTTTATTGGCAGAAGCTGTTAACAATAGCCCTCCATCATCAATTCATATGAAATGTAAGTGAAGTTTTTTCATTTCTTTAGAGCATATCTTGCTTTTTTCTTTGTGTGAAACGACAACATTGCAACTGCCCTTTATTTCTAATGTTTCTTAATGCTTCTGAAAAGAACTCGTCGACATAGTGGATCTGGGAAAGCTTTTCTAGATTCAATTGTTCTTTTATCAATTGCTAGTAATTGTTTTACATTAGCTAAGTTTCTATCATTAAGATGCTTCTGTGAAAAAATAATCAATTAATCAAAATGAAATAATCAATTAATCAATTGTCTGGTTTGGCGGTTAAAACTAACTATGAATGTGTACTCAGTCATGAAAAAGTTGTTCAAGCAAACGTTTGGGAGTTATTTCATCCCGTCTTGTGTCTTAGTGACTTTGTTCGTGGAAGTAAAAACACCTTCTACTCACAAGTTACAATCAATTCTTGAACCTGTTTTGTTCTTCCTTGTAAATTGTTAATCAATGACTACGTTCGTGGAGCGAAAAACTCCTTTAGATATGAAACGTTCAGTGCACATTGCATTGGATATAAGTCAAGTTATCCATGTGATCTTCGCCTGCGGCCGTATAGTATTCATTGAAAGAAGGTAAAGAGATTATTTCAGCATTCGCCAAAATTTTGAAAGATGTTTGTTGAGAAATGTCCTTCTTTGGTAACAGAACTCAGATATCCCCCTCGAGAAGTTTTAGCTTGGTTAAGCTTCGTTAGGGAATCGACTCAGGGAAATATTAGTTGCACTCAGTTGGTTTTTGTTGTAAATTGCTAGCCACAGCAAATTTTTGAAGTGCTGGGTATCCCATGTAAATAATATGATGACTGATAATTATAATCTGTTCCCGTTTGGTTGTTTGTCGAAACTGTCTCATGCTCTGTGCTGTGATATAGCAATACTTATATTTGCTTATATATTCTCTTACTGCTCCTTTGCTGTTCCAAGTCTTGCTCGGATATTAAATTCAATTCATGACATTACCTGTGTTGTTCATCTCATAAAGTGGGCTCAGATCAAAAGCTTTGTTGCCACCCACCTTAATGTCGTGAGACAACTGATTCTTGAATCTGATATTCTGATTAATATTTCAACAACCATATGCAACATAACATCGAAAGCTTTCTTTCCTTTGGGAACTGTTTTCCTCTTGTCCCACAAGGATTTGAATGTATTGTAGTTCAGTGAATTGGTTGCCTGCGTCATTTATCACATGTAAACAAATCTAGTCTAGTGCAATTTTTCATCCTGTCAAGTTCTTATTGGTATGGTTTTGTTTTTGTGCGAATGCTCATAATCTCAGTGGCCAGAAAGTTTAACACTCTCAGTCCTTTGCTAATATTAAGTATAGCTCTCTTTAAATTGATACCTCTTCATTCTTCAGCTTCAGCGCAGAGTCCTTAATTTTTGAAAGGATTTTTACCGAATATCTTATATCATAACAAAAATTATTAATTTACAGCAATTTTCTGTCAGTGATATTTTTTTGCGAAATGCCTCTAATTCTATTATTACTTGTGTTTTATTGTGTTTCATTACTTGATAACAGTTTTTATCGAATATGTCTTAAACGCTCTTAAAGATACGGCTACAACATTTCTCAAAAACTGACAAAGACCCGTCGACATCAGTGGATTATATAGAAATGATGCGAACAAAGGACGCTAGTTTAAGCGATTGGATTAATGACATAAAATAAACTGTAAATTTCTTAATGTGACAGTGAATTCAGCAAAACCTATGTAATTAGGTAAAATAGGGTAATGTCTTCCCAATCCTTGCTTATAGTTGCTTATCATTTTAAAAAAGTATGTCGACAACAGGGCCTACGCCACAAATTTGAAATGGGGAGGCCAAGGCTAAATTTTCCCCCTTTTACTGCAACTTTAAAACTACTTGCTTCCCAAGAAATTGGGGGGGGGGGCATGGCCCCTCCGGCCTCTCCGGTAGCGTGGGCCCTGGACAATTTAACAAATATGCTTAATTACAAACAGTTGATCGGTGTTAATTAGATAAGTAATTTTTAACCTCAAACTCAAATCTCCCAGTTTCTTGTGCCTTCTGCATCTTTGCTGTTAGGTGTATTTGCTTAATTTTAGCACTTTAAAATTATCTAATCAACTAAGGATACAACGTAATCAATAAGATAGTTCGTGTTGTTCACAATATTTTTGTAACTTGTGTTGACCAAAAGTACATTCTAAGGCAATTGGTTTACGTGACGTTGCCCTAGAATTTATCCTTTACATTCTCACAAATAGGAACTTTTTATAAATATAAAAGGATGAATGATAACTACGATGCGTAGATTGAGACTAAGAATAAAAAGTCAGAAATTATGTACTTTATTCAGTTGAAAATGAACGGTTTTTAGATCCACCCATTGGAATCCCTGAAGAACGTCCACCAGAAACCTTCTGTAAGTAACATTTGAAAAGATTTCTTGTTGGGTTTTTTTACTCTGTTATTTAAGTTTTATTTAGTCTTTAGTATCGTTTTCTCATTCTCACAATTTTATCCCTATCGAAGTTAACTAAAAGAATTTTCTGTGCTCTTATAATAATATTTAGGTTTTCAACGTTGGTTTTCTTTCTCACATATTTTTCCTTCAAGCGAACTTCCTTCATTTTTGCATGTTAATGGTAAAAAGGCATTACTGGGTTTTTATCGTTTCATATTTGTGATTATTCTCAGGCGCGATTTGATCTTGTATTTCTTTTCGTTCCAAGCAGTGCAACCAATGAATGAATTCAAGCCAGCCTCTTTTTCACCTCAATCGGGGCCAAGATTTCCTCATCCACAGACACCACAAAACCTCCCTACAAACATACCAGCGCGCCAATCAGAACCCTACGTTGGCACCCCGCAGCGTTCGCAAGGCTCTCCACAAAACCCCATTGGAAATATCGCTGATAACCAAGAATATGGTACGTTTTTATCTTCTCAAAAAGTATTGGTAAAAGATTATAAAGACCATGATTTAACTAATGTAGCAAAATGTAAGTTTTATTGATTGTGTGAGAACATTGTAGAAAAAAATAGAAATGAATAAATATGCTAGGTAAAGACGCTGGATAGTGGTCGTATACCGGTTTCTAGGAATTTCGCGAAGATTATGATAATTTACGATAGACAGGAACATCGTAAAACGACAAAGGGGAATTAAATGTAAGAGAAATCTAGTTTGAAAACCAAAACCTGAAGTTAACTAATATGTAAGCTGAGGAGCAACAGCAAATTTAATGAATGAAGAGCCATTTTATGTTTATTTTATTTTAGATAAGTGGAGCTGTTCTCTTTGTACGCTTGACAATCACCCTGACCTGCAAGAATGTGAAGCATGTGGCAGCAAAAGATAGGGCCTGAATGACTGGATTCTGTCATCAAGTTCTCAGATGTATATTGTAAGAAATACAATGTCAATTGGGTGTTCCTTTCACCGTAGATTAACTTAGCCTCTGCAGGCATCAAGCCTCAGAAAATGATTTTACCTTTAATGTATCTTAATGAACGCTGTTGTCTTTAGAGTTTATTAAGTTTTATAAATGCAATTATATTCGTTATCCTATCCTAAGCTAGCATATTTTTTATTTGCCAGGTTAGTTATTTAATTTACTGTAACTTGCAAACACAAACAGAGGTTGAGTCTCTGCGGCATCAAAATCACAGAAACGCGCATAAGCAGGCACCTGGAATGTGTATGATTCGTCATTGCGCTCAAATATTCCAAAGGTATTTGCAACACCAGTACCAAAAAATCACTGGTATTATCATAGCATTATAATAGCCTACTGCCATGTGTCAAGTTTACATCTTCCTATCAATTTCGTATTATTATTACGGACTACGGTAAACGAGAGAAGTAAGAAATCTTTACGGTTTTGTTACAGTCCTGATTTTAAGCAAATGAAAACAAATGGCATAGTTCACGTGTTGCCTATGTTCCAGACCCTTAACTTGAAAGTAGAGTACCGTAAAAGCTCTATTATATCCCCGGGGCTTATTTATTTTTTTCAGTCCTAATGGGGGATCTAAAAGAGAGTGGGCTTATTAGAGAGAGGGGTCTTGTTAAAGATTTGAAGTAAAAAATGCTCTTGTCAATTTTTTTTCTATAGAAATGCCATACAAATTTTGTCAGAAAACTTCGCTAGCATCTTCGAAAGTGTAATAAATTATTATAAGTTCTTCATCTTCATCAAAATCACCAGCATAAATTGATAACCCTAGAACATTATCTAAACAAATTTCAACTGACTTCTTAGGTGCAAAGTTAAGTTTTTACATGGGCCGTATTTAATGCACACGATCTTATTATCATCACACCCGTCAAGAGACCCACCAAATGCGCATGTTTTTCTTGTTGATAACAAAGGCTAAAGAGGGGGGGGGCTTGATAGAGATTGGTGGCTCATTTTAAGTTTTTGCTTGATAGGGAGAGGCTTAATAGAGAGGGGGGCTTAATAGAGAGAGGGGGCTTAATAGAGAGAGGGGGCTTAATAAAGCTTTTACGGTATCTGGAACACAGGCTAGATCTATTGAGGAGTATAATGTACCCTCCTTTCCATGAAAAACCTACTTAGATGCTACTCCTTTTTTGCCGCTTTTAAATCGGGGGTTGAACAAACTCCAAAATTTGCTCAATTGGTCCGTTGCAGGAAAAGGTAGAATCTTACAAGGAATACGTTTCAAAGTACAACGTCAGAAAACTTACATTCGCCTGAAGTTACCCGCAACTTTAAATATCTAGCCAGTTTAAATTAACGCAAAAAAATTCCTATGAATCTTTCCTTCAAGCGATCCTTTAAACATGTACACTTTTGAATTCGACTAATCAAATGTCAAAATTTCGCAGTTTTCTACTTAAGCCGCTTTCCAAAACGAGAAAAAAAGAAAATTTCACGAACAAAATATTTAAAATAGGTTATGTAGTTTAAGAAATAACTTGAAAACATTATTTTTAATTATCCATCCAGATAAAATATCGAAATAGCTACTATTTCGACTATATAAATTTGGTAGACTGGTTTATGCTTCATCTTACTACATGCACCAAAAATGCACTGAAATCATTCAAAGCCACGAGAAAAAATGTCTCCTTAAAACAAGCGATTTTCCATCCAAACGCAGCTCGCTTTTTGCCACCATTCAAAATGGCAAAAGTAAACAAATTTTCCTACATATAGATTTTGATGTTTCAAGGAGCATAGTTTTTAGAAGTTTTCTCCAGGACCCCAACGTTTCTTGCAATAATCTCAAATATTTTTAGTAAATCAGTTTTGCTGCGATGTGTTTTGCCTCCTCCAGCATGTCCTCTGACAAAGTGAAGCGAAAAGAAAACTAGTTTCATTTCTATTTTGAGATTCTTATATAAAACATTATTTTTCTTTGGATTCTATTTTCAAGTTTTCTTTCATTCAATATTGTTCAATCCTTTTTAGGAAGCCAGTATATGGTAGAATGGGCTGTAGATGTGAAAGGCCTGTCAAACTCATAAGGTCACAAGTTTTGGGACCTAAAGAACTATTTGACTAATTAAGAGAATGTTTCTCAGTTTTACATCTAGAATGCTCAATCTAAATTAAAGGGCCTTGCTGGAAAGTGCTTGAAGGGCCAACAAATTTACCCGCAGATTAAATCCCGGACCACCCTATGCTCAAGGAATGGAGTTAATCAATGTTGCTATACTTTGTGGGTGGATCATTTTTGTGTACGAAGAATGAGTACACTATGTGGTGGGTCGAGGGAAACGCATACATGTCTGTATGTATGTATGTATATAGAGACGCTTTTCCGTAACTCTTTTGGTATGCAAAGGCATGCTCGTTTCCCTGTGATTAGTGTGCCGATTTCTATTGCTTGCGGCCACGAAATGATGATGACTCAACTCAAATTTATGAACACGTTTGTTTTAACTAAAATCGATACCCCAAAATTTATTTTACTCTTGAGAAACGATACCCCCAAAAATGTCTCACTCATAGAGCTCACACCCCATCAGGGCCGTTGTGGCTAGGCGGGACACCGAGAGATTTCTCGGTGGGCCTCTTTCAAGTGAGTTTGTGAAACCCAAGAAAATATTTGCAAAAACATTCTGCTCGCTTTTCGCTCGCAGTACACGTAGGTTCTCTATCTCTTTTGTGTTTCTGCTGATTGTGCACTACAGCAATGGATTTGTTCCACATTGTGTGCTGCACACAATGTGGAACAAATCCATCAAAGTTGGCAGTTTTTATCATTTTTCAAAGAATTTATTTGCTAGGGATGTATCGTTTTTCTCTAGCCATAGTCTCTTTAAGACTGCACACAGTGTGCAGTCTTAAAGAGACTATGGCTAGAGAAAAACGATACATCCCTAGCAAATAAATTCTTTGAAAAATGATAAAAACTGCCAACTTTGATATTTTTCATAGCTGCAATGTTTCCAGCTATGTACCAATTTTTTGGCACTCCGTGGTATGTGATTTGAGGTGTCATACAAGAGAGCGGGCCCCCTATGACCATTATCTCCCGGCCCCTTTTTTAGGAGCCACAACGGCCCTGCACCCCATACCAGTGTATGTGGAAGTTAGCCCCCGGGGAAAAATACCAAGAGATCAAATTCTTCTTTTATTAGCACTGCACGTGAAAACAATAGCATTACTGATTGCACCTTTGGCCTGGCAAAGTAAAATTAACTTCCGGTTCAAGGTTTTGGTGGATCTAAACAGGAACAACTTTCAGTTTCGATAAAGTACTCTGGCTTTCAATTACATCTGACGAGCAAGACGTAGATATATTTACCAAAGGGTTAAGGTAGATTGTATGTTATATATTCTGTGCTTCTCAGCTTTTCAGGTTGATCAATCAGGAATCTGCAATGTTTGAAGCTGGTTAAGGCGAGATCATCAATAATGAAATATCAGATTACCAAAACTGTACAATAATCTTGGTTTAGTAGAAAGTGCTTGGGAAATCAGCCTTGAAGTTCAGTTAAATTTTTTCTAAATCTTATTTCAAAAAATAGCAAAACTTGCCTCTGTTATTTGATAAGTTATTGCCCAGAGGTTTAAAGACGTAAACAACAAACTTTGCAGTAAGATTACAGTAATGTTATTGGTTTTTATTGGAAGATTTTCTTAACAAAGGGGCTCTCCAAGAAGACACGATGGTCGGAGAGAGAGCACACCCGGGGAGAGAGCACTCACTTTTAAGTAAAGTATATTGATAATGATCGATAGCCAAGCCTTTCCTACTCTTGTCATGTTCTTTTTTGGAAGTTCAAGTTCAAGGCCCTACATCTGAGATTCATAGACCTATTGTTAACCCCAAGATGTATTTAGTGGAGAAGGTCCTCCTCTTAACTAGTTCAACACTGAAAACTAAGGTTAATCTTTTAAAAGTGTTTAGTAGAGTTGCAGTTTGTTTTCGTTAAAAAGTTACTTTTAACTATTTATTTGAAATTAATTATTCTATGCATAATAAGTTAGTTAATTGATAGATCTTTGCTTTTTGTGTGAAGAATTTGAATAGTTTTAGTTTTGTAAGGGAATATCAGTGATGTTAGCACTTAATTTTGCATTCAAGGAGGCTCTTGATTATTCCTTGTTATGAATCTAAATAAAACATACTGGGCTGAATGAAACAGATTTTTCTCAGGCAAACATAATTTTTTCTTCACCCTTTAGTTTTCCTTTTTTTCTTTTCTCTTCATCCAGCAACATTCGAGAAATCAAGAACGATGAAGCTTCTTTCTTTGAATGTGGGACTTCTTCTCTTCTTTGCCATGTGAGTAATGTATTGACTGTTTTTAACAAGCGTTAGTAACAAAGTTTAATAGCAAAGAATTTGCAAATTTGTTATTCATGACAGCAGCAGTTAGGCCACAGAATTGTTGGGAAATTTATGAAATCATTTTCTTTGTCAAATCTTATAGGCAGGGGTGTAGTGCCAGGGAGGTTGAGAGGGCAGAACCTCTTTTTTCCATGTTCTTATTGCTTTTGAAACAATTCGGGAGGCCTCCCTTCAAAGCAGTATGCCACCATCAATTAGAATCTAGAGGAACATTTGAGCAACTTCTAGCTTGTGACGATTTGACTTTCTCAAAAGCATAGGCCTTTTTCGGAAAAAATTGACAGGGCACCTCCAGGTCAATCGCTCCAAGAGCAAATCTTAGCAGCTTATTCCCTTGATAAATATCAAACGTAAACGGAACATTAATTCCTCGGAAACTGAGCATGGCTGTGCTAGAAATCGTAATATAGCAGAGGTGAATTCCCGGGCCCCGGGTCTAAAGAGGGGCCTGCGTAAAGTTTCACTTGTTCGACTTGAAGGGCCAGTACTCCTGCACAAGGACCTGCGTTGGGTATAGCCCCAGGGCCAGAGCTGGCTCTCGACGGGCCAGCTATATATCAAATAGACGATTTCAAATTTCCCCTGTTCTTGCAATAATAATGGCAGGATTTGAGGAGCAGTGATATGGAAGGAACAAAAGTAGCTCTCGTAAGATCCCCCTTCCCCCTTCCTGGTCCCATAGTTCTACACCCCTATGCAGGACGCACATTATTTTTGAAATTAAGTAATACAGGAATGAAAAATGAAGCAAAGTAAGAGTAAATAGAACAGGAAAGAGAAAGGAAGTTCACAGCAAATAGAACGGCGTTTAGGCCCCGTTCACACGGGAACGCAATCGTTCCGTTCCGTTCTTTTCCGTTCCGAAAAGCGGAACGCTCAGGGGTTGTGTTCACACGGGAACGCTACAAACGACATCATTCCGTTCCAAAAACGGTGGAACGATAAATAAGTGATACGAAAAGAGGAACGGTACGCAATCGTTCCGTTCCGTTCCCGTGTGAACACGCAGAACTGGTCCAGAAAATGGGACGATAAGAGTTTTGCCCTTGGCGCATGCGTCTGTGTTGTTGTTGAAGGAAGGAAAAGGTGACAAAAATAAACTCAGCGAAGAAAATGGAGGATTTCAAAAACACCATTGGCTGAATCTCGCCGTTAGTCCATTTAAAAGATTCAACACCATTCTGCAAACATTAAAATTCCTTCCTTTTAGGGTTGGCTTCAATGTTCCCACGAGCTTGCTTATTTTGGGGCGCTTTTGTATTCTCCATTTATTCAAATTGTTTAAAAAATTCAGAGATAGCTCAGAGATAAATCGAAATGATGAAATCTATCTCCATTATGGACATGCGCATTAAAAATCATTCGCTTATTTTGGCGCGCAAAATGCAGAACGGAACGATTGCGTTCCCGTCTGAACATAAACAAAAATCGATACGCAATCGTTCCGTTACCGTGTGAACAGTAAACCTTTTCGTTCCAGAAACTGGAACAAAAATGGAACGGAACGATTACGTTCCCGTGTGAACGGGGCCTTAGTAACAACCGTTTGACTGGAAAATCCAACGTGTGATACGAATTGGAGGCAGGAGTGTTAAAAATGTAAATGAAATCAAGTGATTTAAAAGGACATATAGAGAGGACAAGGTTTAATGCCATGCAAAGCTATATTTCAAGCGAAATATGATTTGTTCTCGACAGTTTTCTCAAAGGCTACTCAAACTGTTGTCTGCCATTGAGAATTTGAAATCAAAAGAGAAAAAAAACGTCACTCTTAATTAATGCAACATAATTTTATGCAACAAAAGTACATACATCGTACTATTTTTCTACAACATAACTTCAATAAAAATATGTACAATATACAACCTTATAGCTTTTATAATACATTTCCTCCCGAATAGTCTTTCAACTTTAATTAGCTGGCCATTATATCAGTCAGCTTCGTGGACAAGGCTAAAAAGCTGAACTTCTCTGATGTCGTTCCTTAAACATTCTTTGGTTTCAAATATTATTTGTTGCTATGGGTTAGTTTGGTTGGATAGAATCTCAATGATTGGATCCACATTTTACGAAATTTTAAGATGCATTCTTCGTTACTGGGACAACAAAGCTGTTGATGAAACCCTAAATTTCACCAGTATATTTTTTCATTTTTCAAACCTTTTTTCTTGCTAGCTACTTGTACTATTTTGAAACTTTTTAGTCCTTGAATATCAAGTTATCTGGAATTTCAGTTGTCTAGTGTTTCTATTGGTATCATTTTCAGTTTGTTCCTTGTTTTTCTAGCGTCTTTGCTTGATCTTTCTAGCACCTATGTAAACGATGCCGTCATCATCAGACCCAGTCCTTGCGAAAAGTGCGAAAAATGGTACCAGAAGGAGCTAAAAGACACTCGTTGGCTGAAGAAACTCAATGAAGAATTCAAATGTCCATGCAAGGTCAAGGTAGGACTTTTTTCCCTGACGCCAATCGACAACCCTTCTTATAAAGTGTGGCTACGAGACTCTTCCTGCTCTTTAATGTACTTACCGTTGTGTGCGGTTTTCCACACGGGTGCCTATGGCTGTATCCGCTCAGAGGCTACAACTTCTGATGGAGCAAGACAACAGTGCTGCTATGATAAGTCCGGTAGAATTATCAGACCGGGTTCAAGAGGTGCTGGTACCCCGGATCGACGATCCACTTTCTGGAAGCATCAAACAGACGATGTTGTACCGTTCAACAATTGCTGCATATCCTGTTTCTTTTCAAAAAAGCATTGTGATTACTACATCAACGGTGTACGAAAAGGCGATGCCTCACATTGTCCAGTCAAGGATGAAGACACAGATTGAATCCATAATCGAAGAAAAATGTAGTGACAGACATTTTATGCGTTCTACAAACAGTTTCAGTTTATAGTTATGTCATTATCAAAGCATTACACAAAGTCCTTGTCTTTTTTGCAAAAACGACACCAAAGAATTTGACATTTGGAGTTCCCAGTAGGGGCGGGTTGGATGAAAATCGCTCATCTTGCTTTAAGATATTTTTACTCCCAGTTAAGGTTACGGTAAACGTTTTCTGGATGAAAACATCATTTTTTCGATTTTTTCACATTCAAGTAGCCGAACTTTCAAGGCACACAATGATACCAAATTTGAAACAAACAGAAATTTTGAAAGTGGAAAAAATCCCATGTAAACGAAGGTTTCCATAATTTCTTTATCAAAACTTTTAGTTGAGGCCTGAAAATATCTTGACCTGTTAAGCTGATTATCGTTGCTTTGCGGTTGTGATCGCATGTCTCATTTACAATATCGCATGGCACATCCATATATCCAATGTACGGCCGTGTTTATTTAAACAGGCTTATTGATCTTAAATCTTCAAGTGACTTGACCCGAATTACACTGTGGTTTACGAGTGTATCTTGCAAGTGCGATCAGTAAAATTCCGTTTTCTCCGGACTCGAAATTCCTCTACATGCAGGTACGAAAAAGCTATTATGTACCCAAGGAACCAATCGAATGGCTCGAAAATTTGCACACGGCCAGGGCAGACGTTGGGCAAACAAAGTGTCTCAAAATTTTTTTATTTTCTCTGGTCCGTCTTTTATATCCAAATACAGTTGCGGGAGGGTGGAAAAATTATTTGCCAATTTTTGACAGGGTATAGTTTCAAGAAGAGGAGGAATTTAAAAAATCTGAGACACACTTTGGTAGCTTAGGACCTGCACTTCCTGCTGGTCTAAGTCAGATTTTGTTACCTCAAACACAAGGGTACATAATAGCTTTTGAAGGTGGTACACTTTTTGACCAGTAAATTCGCATGGAAAATAACATTTAACATTATTTGCCAAAATTTTTATCTGGCTAGATACGCCATAATCTTGTGCATCGAATGATATATAGTTTATCCAGATTCCTTGAGCCGTTTGGCCTTTAGGAAGGAAAAACCAATTTTCGTGTTCAAAACGTTTACCGTAACCTTAATAACAATGATCGTTTCCCTGCACACAAACTAACCTTTTTACGGTTTCTTGAAATATAGTTAAAATACGAATCTTGCAATAGGCATTTTAAACATAACCAGAGAAAATATAGAGAAAAACATGACAATGGAGACTATGGTTTTAAATATTTGGCTTTTGCCAACTACTTCTTCTTCATAAAACTAGTTATCTTTGCATTTTTAGAGTTTTTCTTTGAACTTTCAACTTTTGCTTTCTTTTTTGGTGGCTGTCCACTGTCCTCTTCAGCCTCTGTTTTTCTTCCCTTTGCAGCATCAAAAACAGCTTTCATACGAGACATATTTAACTTTGAAACAATGCCATGATCCACAATCGGTTTTGGATAATCTTTACCAATGATACATCCAGCTTTCTGTTGTACAACCAGAGGAGCCGTCCAGGGCTCATAAATGTATTTTTCAGGAAATTTTTCTAGATTTGGTAAATACTTTTTTATAAATGACCCTGAAGGATCTGTTTTCTTTCCAAATGCAATTGGACTATAGACTCTAAAATATTGGTGAAAAAATGCTGATGCAGATAGCCACATCCAGTTTCCAGCATTAAGTGACCAATCAGCATCAAGGAGGTATTCTTCAAACACTTTCATACCTAGGATGATAAATGTTCAAAAATTAAAGATTGTATGGTCTTCCATGATAATTAAAGATGGTCTTCATGTTATGCTTTAGCTAGGGTTTTTGCTTTTGTGATTTTTATATAGAGACAATATTTTAGTTAGCTAGATTAGAGAAATATCTTTTTGGCTGAGCAGGTCATTTCCCCCAGTAAGTAAATATCAAATTAAGCTAGACTGATGGCCGGAAGCTGTGCTCCTAACATTTTTGAAAAACAAAAGAACTTTTCAGAAATATCTTTCGTTATGAGTCTGTAACTTGCACATTTCAAATTTCTATTATGTTTCAGTGCCAATATAAGGACCCGAGAGAGGTATTGAAGATTATTTTTTAGGATTAGGAAACAAGCAGCAGTTGGCCAATATGCAAAGTTAAGTATACTCAGGGACGCTGGAGAATGGGGGCACAGGGAGTCAACCGCCCCTGTTGCCTTTGATGGGGGGCAAGGGGGGCTAATATGCCCTTTTCATAGAAGTGCCCTTAACGCCAGCATTTGTAGGAAATCCATGAGATTCATATGAAATCGTGACTGTAGTGCCTTATTTATGACAACATTTCTCAAAACTTGGGAAGAAATTTCTTATGCCAAAATTTAGCCGTTTTTAAAGATACCGACAGGAGATCGATACAAAATGACAGTTACAAAAGAATTGCTGGTAGCTGGGAATAAGTTTTTTCAAATGCCCTTTTACTCAAGACTGCCCCCCTTGGTCGCTCAGGCGCCCCCGAGTATATTGTCATACTAAATCATCAATAAAGGCATTGAGTCATGATAAAAAGAGAGGGTATACTATATGCAAATGTACTGCCTCATGATTTTTGTATTGCAATGCTTTTGGTGGACTGAAACTAATCACACATGAGCTCAACTGGTACTGCTTCATGAAACAAATTCAAATATTTTATTTCACAGCAATTCTCTACATATTATATAGCATCAAAAAAAATAAACCTCCTGCTAAATTTAGGATGATTAAATAGTAGAAAATAGATATTTACATATTAATTTCATAACAGTAACTATTACATAATGAAAGCTGTAGGACAAGTGGAAAACAGCTTCTGTCAATGACAAGTTGTCAACAATGTAGCATGAAACTACAGAGATCAGGCCAAAAGCAAATGACCCCCTATAGAGATGGCCTATTTACCATGACTCAATGTCTACAACCTACTTGACTCTAATATGGATATATTTTACCATACACAATAAAGTTTTCAGAATAAGGGGCATTTTAATTATTTCTCCTTGTTTTAGAACCTTTTTCATTAATGCAATTTGTTTTGGCTTTTGTGAAAGGTTTTTTCCCCAGCTTATAAATTCTACTAACTCTGCAAAAATATAAGCAGAGCTATATTTAATGGTTAGGTTTCACTTTTACCTTCTTCCCATGACACCCACAGATCTCCTCTTGTAAGAAAACACGCCACAGAATGCCTTGCAAGATGATGTATCCAGCCTTCCTTTCTAAGCTGTGTCATGATAGCATCAATGAATGGATATCCTGTTCTTCCTTCTTTCCAAGCAGTCAAATATTCTTCATTATTTTCCCAAGGAATCTGCCTACAAATAGGGTTACCTTTCATCTTATCAAAGTTTTCAACAGATGCTCCACAGGTATAGAAAAATTCACGCCAAAGGAGCTGGCCAACGAGAGAAACTGGTGGTTCTGAATGTTTTCCTTTTCGATTTATGTCACATATTTTTTCATAGAACAACCTTGAAGAGAGACAGCCAAATTTAAGGTACGGGCTCAGAACTGTTGTGCTTGGTGATAGGCTATTTGGTGATGTCTTTGGTTTCTCAAAGGCTCTAACCCACCTAGCATTTTCTTCACAAATATATTTATCCAGTCTATTAAGTCCTTCAGTTTCTCCACCAGGAAATTTGCATTGTTCCAACTCAGTTTCAATCAGACCAAGCTCTTCTAGTGTAGGAATGTTATAAAACTCATCTTTTAATCTGTCATTGTTTGTTATTTTGGCTGACTCTGGTAGATGTTCTGGTGACACTGTGGCCTTCTGCGGTTGTCCAAGCTTGGCAATAACACTTTGAAATTTTTGATATGTAAGAGGAGTGGATCCTTTATTTTGTTGAATAACATCTTTTAAATCATACAGAGTATGAGAAACCTTTGATATCACCTCTACACTATCACTTTTTGCAAGTTTGTTTATTTTTTCATCTCTTAATTTAGCATATGGTTCAGTGTCAACTTCATAAGTGAGTTTTTTGACATTCCATTTAGTAAAAATATCCTTGAATGTTGTCTCAGGTGAACCTCTCAATACAAAAAGCCTAGTTCCAAGGACTCGCAACTGTGAATCAAGATCTGCAAGACTTTGCTGAAGAAACCTCCATCTATTCTGGCCGACCTTTGCATTTTTGACAAACCATGGATCAAGGATAAAAACAGGATATAGTTCAAGATTAGAATTGATAGCTGCAACCAGGGCAGGGTTATCATGCAGCCTCAGCCCCTTGCGAAACCAGTGAATTACACTTCCTCCCATGGTATACCAAATTTCTCTAGAAAGGAAAAGACTTGCTTTGTATTCTATCAATGAACATTTAGCATTAAGCACAAAAAATCAAAACAAAAATTGAGAATATTCAACCACGATTTTAATTGGGTGGCAGAGCATCTGCGCAAAAAGAAAGGGGGAATTCTTTCACAGACGTAGGAACCGGAGGCACAGTTGGCATGTGCCCCTCAAATTGAGGGCCTCAACTTTTCAGATAAAGAGAAGCAAACTTTTCTACACACAATAAAACTATTAGCCTGTGTTGTGTTCTGAAGTTCAAGTGCTATTATTACGTAAATTGTAGTTTGTGAAGAGCACTAAAAATTTCCAGGACAAGCTTCATTAAACCAACTTAAAATGAAAACAAAGAAAGCTTTTTTCGTATTGATGGTCTACAATTACATAGGAACTGTTATGTAATCGTGTAACATGATGATGTTCAAATATTTAATTGCAGAAACCCGGATCAATCTCCACGAGCAGCATTAAATCAAAGTATATAAGTGGTTATAAACAAGTGCACCAAAATTTTGACACATTATCTTCCTTTAATAAAATAGAAAATAAATATCTCGTGGATACCTCGTCCTCCCTCCAGCTGCGGTTGGCTTGGCTTCTTTTTATCTCAAGGCATGCACCCCAAAACGAGGCTGCAACACAATCTGGGTCTTCAGGACCAATGAGGTGTTGAGGACATAGTCCAAAATGGACCTCACAAAGCTAAATCTCGAATTTCTGGAATTAAAGAAAGAAACAATTATAAATATTGCAAAGAAAGCTGTGCTGCCGCTAACTTTTATTCCAGTGATATGGATAATATTTTTTCGGAGGAGCTTTTTGTCAGAAGGAAAGAAGGTTAAAGTGAAAAAGTCATTCAAAGAGGAGGATGAAAACGGTGATGATGACTACAGTTTGCAGAATTTGGTAAGTCTTTGTGGATTGCAGATGGCATAACCTATTCAAGGGGCAATTAGCGCAGGGGTAGCCTTTGTTTATATAAAGAGGAGGACAATAGTATATTGTTTAAAAAATTATGTTAAAAAGGCTCTGGGGTGACGTTAGCGTGAAGGCTGCCAGGGTAGTGCAAATGAAACTCCCATAATGTTGCTCGTAATTTGACTCAAAATGGTAGACAGAGGAGTCATCATAATTCAGGCAAATCAGAACCTGAGTATGGTTATCGAAAGAAAGCTTCAGCTGCAAGAAGGGGCTTAATGGGAGTTGTAGCGGGAAAATTTCCGGCCACGTTGGTATCAAGACAGTGAGCCCCCATGGCCCTGCCCCCTCCGGGCCACTGCGACCCTGCCTCAGTCTGTTACTGCAAGCACTGGAGATGGAGCCCCCTTTTGAAGATGCATACATAACATCAAAATAAAGTTACAGTTACAAAGAATTAGTAGAAGCTGGGATTTTTTCAGATGCCCTTTTACTTGATAAAATATTATCTTGCTTTTACTAAAGCCCGTGAAGCCCGCCCCTTTGCTCGTTCCAGCCTTCCTGTTCTCATCTCAATTGGTTTCCAGATCCCATTCTGCAATTTGCCGACAATAACGCCAGCCACTTGGCTCTAGGGGGGACAAAACAAAAATTTTAGACCACGCACTTTTCTACACCAGAAAACGCACTTTTACCAACATGGAACGCCAACTTTATGGAGGAAACGCCCATAACTAAATTTTGGTTACGTAAAGTCAGTTTGAAAATTAAAAGATTATTACATCTTAAAAAGTACGTTGCCAAAATATTACCCCTCCTCCGCCAACATTTTATCATCGAATTTAGACGAAATACAAATTTGATCCTGCCAAGAACTGGGAGGGAAGTGGCACCGCTACTGAATCTGACAAAGTGGGCGAACCATCCTTAATTTTCTGACAAGGTCGGAAATTTACCAACAAGGCACCCCTAGATGGTAAAGAACTTCTAGTTTTTGAAACGGAATTTTTTCTTGAGGGAGAGGTATATCCCACTCAGGGACGCCAAGAGGTCTAGGGGCCTCATAAAGTAATGTATTCCATTATAAGAATTCCTAAAAATAGAAAAGCGTTTGAAACGATTAAAAGAAAATGACTGCAAAAAATATTGTAAATTGTATACTAAGGTAATCTAAGGGGCGTGGTCGCAAAAATTTGAACTTCCGTTGCGTGCAACAATCTTCATTTTTGTGTGCACCGCCGCTTTCATATTCGATTGTTGCACGCTGGTATGTGCTCCACATACGGTACGGGGCAGATGCAACGCAGTGCAAGGCTCAATCCACTCTGAGGGGTGTATCACTTATTCTAAACAGCGTACGAGATATTTTAGAACCATAAGATTTGTAAGGATTTTTCGGGGATTTCATCTCGCATAAAAATAATTTTAGCTAAAGGCGTGTGAGATTTTCGTGAATTGAGATGCCTGGGAGATGCCCCATGTTTCGTTCCATATTGTCTGGAAACTTCGTACGCCCATACAAACTAAGGTTCCATTTAAACGTGCTGAATGATCTGAATGAATGAGGGTATATCATTGATGAAAACTTGACTTTTAGACTAAAATAAAAAAAGGTACTCTCAGGTACTCAGGCAAAGGAAATTACGACGCGAAAATCGAAGCAATTATTGACTAACGAGAACATACATTTTGACAAAGAAAATCAACTGCATCAAAATGCCACACCCAAAAATTGATCTATTTTAGGCCACGCTCTACTTTGTCGACAAATTGTTGACCGGCATCCCCCTAAGTGAAAATGTTTAGCGACGGCCTTGTCTCCATGCAGATTTTAAGCTCAGAGTGTGAGAGGACTGAACTCTTACTTCTGAATGCTTTATTTACGACTTCGCAGAGAAACCAAACCTAGTGGGCTAGCACAATTGAACTACGCGGGAAGATATCTGATATCGAGCAAAACAACGAAAAGGCTTGATTGATTGAACGCTTACTTGCCCCCTTTGTTCTTGTTCAATATTTTATATAAAGAGATAAGATCCTTAAATTGCTCTTTAGCCAATGAAATCCATTATTTGCTGAGCTTTCAAATTCGAATTAGCATTTCGGGAGTGTTTTCAAGTACCTCGTGGTCGTGTTTACGAAACTACATGTTTAGGATAACGGAATACCCGGCCGGAGCGCAATTAATTTTTTATTCTACTTTTATAAAAGTAGTAGCCAGTCAATGAAATGGAGGTTTACACACAGGCGATAATTGCAGTCGTGGTAGTCTTGATCTTTATGTTGTTGATTTGGATCTTCTGCCTAAGACGGAGCGGTGTTCAGGATAGGAAATATCTGAAACTTCGAGAATCTGAGGAATACGAGGCCACGTATAACTTACAAAATCTCGTAAGAATACTTTTTGTTTATTTTGATCATTGTGGATAATCATAATTTGATGATCAGAAATGCGATTAATAGATAGAATCAACTATAACTTTTGTTTTACTAATGCCCACGTACCGCTCAGTCGAGTGGGCGTTGCCCTCCATCTTTTCAAACGGGGATAGCTCCGGAAAAAACAGGTACATTTACATTCTTTGTTTTTGTCAAACAAAAGACCGAAGTCACAATTTTCCATGCATGAAATTGATTCGATTACTAATTAATTTTATTGTATAAATTTTTTAGTATCGATTTTGATTTTGTTATGGATGATTACAAGTCCTCGAATAAGCCCCTACCTTAGAATACGCCCTAGCCCTATTAAAGTAATTTTTGTGAAAATAAGACCCTAGTCTGGAATAAGCCCAACCTAGGCTGAGGTATTGCCCAACCTTAGAACCCCCCCTAAAATTAGCGCCAACCCTAAAATTGTTTTTGCAAAATAAGCCCCGGGTGGGTTATTTGAAGACTTACGGTATATGTCAAGACCAAATTTTAAAGTTTGCAGCGTATTGATAGCCAAAATATTTGAGGGGTATTTAGCATCAAAAAGCAACAAAATTTTTGGAACATGAAAAGAAGAGATGGCATAGAATTCTGATAGTTATGGTAGGTCTAGGCAAGAAAATTAGCCTTTGGAGTCATGTTGGCTCATGGTCTGGGGATTCCCTAATAATTGTAAAGGCCTATTCTTTTGTTTGCTTGGGGATATTGAAAAATAATTTACTGATACATTTGAAAATTTTTTCTTTAGTGATAAATCTTTATAGAAAATTACGCTAGGCCATGTAAAATGCATTCCTGTCATGAAAAAGAAACAATTTACTGTTCATTCAAATACTTGTGTTGAAACTATGCTCAAGTGACAGGATAAACCTTTTTAGAAACAAAGTGATTTTACCATGCTAGTTAACCATCCAGAAAATCAGACACCTAATCCTTATGAACAGCTTGCTAAGCTCTGGTTGGGTCCTGTCTTGAATTTGATGGGTTTTGGCTAGGTATGAGTTAGAAAAAATCAGTTTGGGGCAATAAATGGTTGTTTTTTCAAAAAAAATTGTATTGCACGTGCTGATTGGTACATCTGAACAATGTGTATTTCAATGGCACATGCCCCTATCTTTAGGAAAATGCCCTGTTCTAGAAGTAGGGCTGCAAGGGGGGGGGAAGGGATGAAAAATTGCTCTAGGGCCTTGATCTCTAGGGAACCTAATGAAATAAAGAATTTAAAAATGAAAATGATAAGTGTGTCAGAAATAAGCCAATAAAATAGTAAAGATTTCAAATCATTAATAAAACTTATTGTATTTTAATGACTGTAAAGAAATATTCTAAAATGTAGTTTTCTAATCTTAAGGGCGTGATCACAAAAGTTTTCTCCTTGTTTTGCTTGGAAGGGGGCCCCTACTGTCAGTTTTTTCCCCAGGGCCTCTGGAAAACTCCTGGCACCCATGCCTTAGAGAAACATCTTTGCAACATTTTGCCCCTTTCTCTTATTTATAACATGTTTCCTAGGCCATGATGCTACCCAGGCATTAATTTAATGTGCCTACGGAACGGATGTGCCTTGTAGACCAAAATTTGTGCTTGTTGGTTTGAATGATGTGTCTCGATTTTTCATACAGCTCGAACACTAAATGTTTTGTGGTTATAATTGTTGATATATTCCATCATGTTGCAAAAACGGCCAAAAAATAACGGAAACATAGGAAGACAAATCTCAAATATACAAACTGTCCTTCAAAAACGAAATTTCAGTTGTACAACATGCATAGTTGTAAGGTTAAACTGTGATACCCAACAGCAGCCTGGGCACAAGTAAAATAATAAGAATTCGAAAAATTGAAAAATTCGAAAGTCAAAATTTTTTTGACCGTGCATTTTTATCGCTTTCTGAAACATTACTTTTCAGTCATATGCTGGAATGTACCCAAGACTTAAAATGATCAGTGACCTTTACTTTCATGACTTAAACTTCAAAATTTCGGTTAGGCAGTTTGATAGGTGGTTATGCAAAATTCCCTGTCTATTATGAAGGGTTATAAACGAATTTACAGACTTGTTGTCACATTTAGCTTAGCCGTGCTCATCCAAAAAACCCTTAAATTAATCCCTGATGCTACCTTTCATGAGTTTGATTATATCTGAGAATGTTTTCTTATAGTCATTGCCAAGGCTGTATGGATGGCGTCTGAAATTATTTTCAAAGATTGGGAGCTCTGTAAGTATAATAGAATCATTCTCCTCAACTGTCTCTTTTCATACAGTATTTTTACTTGGTACATTTGTATAAAACCTGCTTTTAATAACAAAGTAGCTACAACTTTGCATTTTCCAGGAAAAAATAATGTATTGACATGGGCTATGTTTGACAGCTGTGCCAGGCAGAATTTCACATTACGCAATGAAAACAGAGTGCAGTCGGAATGAAATTCATAATTTGGGGGGAGGGCTGCCAATTTTTTTGCTTCCTTTACACTGTTATAAATGAAATAAAGTACAGATTCACAATAATTGGGGTACTCCAGCCCCCCAGGCCTCTTGCTTCCAATGGCCCCAAAACAGGTAATTTTTAATGTAGGATGTCTGCATTTTTAAACAGGGCTCCAAACCATTATACAACAGCTGTCACTAAATGCAGATTTTCTGCAGGAGGATAACATCTGACTAGACTAAGGCTGGTCCTTCCAGGAATTTGGTAGTAAACAAATGTATGGCAGTGTGTGTTCTAAATTGATCTTGTTTGCTGCTATTCAGACTCTACCATGCATCTTCAGCCAAGAGGCCCCCCAGTCAGAATGTGCATGCTAAGCCCTGTTCTGCCAGGCAAAAATCCATAATTAAGGGATTGTCAAATGTGATCAAGATTTCTCACCATTTGATTATTTGAATTATGAATGTGTATAGAAATGCTAAATTGCAAATTATTCCCCTCTTTTCTAGTAGAATTGCAAATTATTCCCTCTTTGCATTAAGCCCCCGAATCTTGTATAAGAAAAGGGGGCAATGAAAAATGCAATTGTAACCTCAAAAGTAAAGTTAGTCCCCTTAAAGCTTAACATTGCTTTAACTGCGTTGGAGTTACCATGGCATTGACTTTGATTGGTTCTTTTTGTTTAAACAGATATTTGGAAAAGCTTTCATAGTACCAGTATCAATGAAGTAAGTTTCTGTGATGGATATGTTCTAAGTTCTATCTATCAACCTTTATATATATTTTTAAAAACTATGATAAGTCTCCTTTCTGAAATGCTCCCTGCTCAAATGAGGGCCTCCTCTCTAGTGTTAAGTCTGGAATAATCCCGCTCTTGATTTAATCCTCACTATGCTGTCAGCTTTGTTACTAGAAAAATTTGTCAGTGAAATGCTATTTTTTACAATGTTATTTTTGAGTAATTTTTTGGCAGTACATCATTTGAAAATACCTTTAAAAAAGCAAACGTTTTACAACATGGCTTAAGCTTTTCATGTGACACTCTTCAGAGTATAAAACAGCCGAATTAGGGCAGAAAAAGAGTTGTGGATAAAAAAGGGCCAATCAGAAAAATATGAGCACATCACTGGTATAGTAACCCAATCAGTGCTGTGTGCTATCCGAGCGAGAAAATGAACTCCTTCAGTCTACCAATTGGTGGCTTTTTTGTTTGTTTGTTAATCGATTGCAAAACTGCTAGATCAAAAGATGACTGGGCTCTGCCAATGATCTGAAACATGTGGTCAATATAGCTTTCGGCACAATCTGAGTTGTTTAAAAGTTGATGCCCAATTACTATTTTTAACAATGTTCTTTGACCTACAAACAAAAGGAGGCTGTTCTCTTAAAGTGTTCCCTTATTCTGATGTTTGATACTCTGAAGAGTCATGTTGTAAAAAGTTTCTTTTTTAAAAGCTATTTTTAAATATTGTTTTTGCAATTCACAACCTTTTTTTATTTTAAATCTAGTTTTTTTTAAGATCACAGATCTTGTTGTTTTAAGAGATATTATATGTATCAAAAAAGAGAATATAAATTGAAAACCTCCCCAAAAATTCAAGTTTTGAGAAGCCCCCTCTGTAGTAAGCCCCCTCTCAAATAATCCACTCTTTAGCATGAATTGCTGACTTTTCCTCATGTTTATTTTGTTTTTATTTTATTTTTGACAATTTCTCTATTTGCTTTTTGATTTCTCCCTTCCTTTCTTACTTTTTCAATTTCTATATATAGATTTTGAACTTTGGACTTTTCTTGCAGGCAGTCAAACATGGATGTACTAAGAACACTGCTGTTTCCGGAGAAGCCAGTTTTGTATCCCTTGCAACCAGCCAAAACAAAAGCAGTTGATGTAAATGATGGAAAAATGGACATTGATCTTTCCTCATTTGCCCAAGAAAAGTATGTACTCATTTGGCCTTTTATAGTAAAAGCCTCCTATTTGCAGCAAATTCCCTATGATTGCAATTCTTAATTCAATGCATTGCGAATTTTTAGAGCATGGTTTATTCCTATGCTGCTGGTGCATCTTTTTTTACTACCATGAGTCCTTAAAAAAGCCCCCACCTTTGAATTAGCCCCCTCCCTTGAATAATCCCCATGCTAAAGCCCGCAACCTGGAATAAGCTCTCATGTGCTGAGATATTGCCTCTACAGCAAAAGGTATATCCAAAGATATCTGCATTTTCAAGAATACTGACCAACCTCTGATAGGGGAAGAAAATTTACCCTGTTAGTATTTTTGGCTGCTGGTACACAAGCCCCAACCTTTGAAAAAGTCCACCCATCAAATAAGCCCCCATCCAAAAATAATATTTGCAAGCTCATGGGGGCTTATTCAAGGACTTACTGTACCTGTTAATTTTGGAAAAAAAGAGCCCTCTTTGTGAAATTTGACTCATGAACTACTGGATTTATCTAAAGAGCTTTGCTTTGTAATAGTTTTCTTTACTTTGGAATGTCTCTTGTTAATCTCAGCTTTTTGAATGTAATCATTTTTACCTGTGAACTTCTATTTCAGAGCTAAAGCTGTTGATGGATTCAGATTCAATACAATTTCTGATTATATAAACGCATACAGGTATGAATTTCAAGTTCTAAAATCCCTTTTCTTTGATTTCTTTATTGGACACATTTGTGGCGGTATATTATTATTATTATTATTATTCTCGAATATTTATACAGGATAATACTTCAGTAGTGATATGCATATATACATATTTACACTGTTTTCCCAGTAGTCCTGTTAAAGTAAAAACGATAAACAAAATAAGATTAAAAATTAGTTTACAATCGGCATTTATAAAATATATCTCTCAAATTCTCATACTTGTCCTGACTCCTGACGGGATGTGCCACCAAACAGGGGATATTTTTCCGACGAAATTTTTGGGACAGACTATTATGAATTGCATCAAAACTCCTGGATAGGGTATAAATGTTAAGGAAATTGTTTGGGACAGAATATTTAGAAACAAAAGCTAGAAATTCTTTCATTTATCTGTTAGTCACACGATCGGCTCGAGTATATTTTGACATAGTTGTTCCATATTTCCGCACATCTCCGTCTATTACCTGATCAAGTGCCCTCCCCGGGGCAGAAGTCAAAGTATACTCCAGAAGACCCTAGCAATGCAAATACCCAATTTTTCTAATTTCTTGCTATTTTCGGTTTTTTATTTGGAGGGAATTTTTATGTCGCAGGCTCCCCCTGCCATGGGAAAATATTTTTGGGTGTGTGACTACAAATAGCATCATTTCTCTATTTGCATTGTAATACACACTAGTTGACATTTACGACATTTCTATATTAGTTGAAACTATAAGAAAAGGTTTTGCCTTGAGACTTTTTTAGGATCTTTTGCCCTACGGACTTTTTCAGTCATTAATGACGCGTCACCGTCCCCTAAACCCAAATAATTTGTCGTCATGACTAGATGTCTCACAACCTTAGACTATTTAGAGACAATTTTATGAAAGCCCAAGGACATCAAACTACAAATAAGAGCTCTATAATTTGTATTTTCTTAAATAGTTAAAATTGTGAAATTTAAATCTTTTTAAATAAGATTAGACGCATTCACAAAGCGTGAAGAATGTATTTTAAAATCAACTCTCGGTCCTTTCTTTGGCATTTAGCAAACATGCACTATGAATCAAAACTTTTTGATTTACTCAGCTGAAAAAGGTTTTTAAGACAGGGTTTGCAATTGAAGCCTTTTATTTCTGCCATTCATACTACAAAATTTCAAAATTGTTTTAAAAAGAGAAAACACTGCGCGCAACACTTGTAACACATATTAGTTATAGTATGTAGTACATAACACAAAACACAAAATTAGAAACGTGCCATGTTTCCGCTTTTTCGAGTATTGTTGAATTTCGTTGGTTCTTCTTTGTGATGAAATACTGTGTATTTATTAATGGGTCTATTAGCATTCATAGAATGTGATTTATGGAACCTGAAACTCTTTAGAAATACCTCTTTTATCATTAGGTCAGGCAAGACCACACCAACTGACGTTGCCAAGCACGTGATATCAACCTTGGAAGCTCTGGACAAGACTGATCCTCCAATGTGCGTTATAATACAGTCAAATAAGCAGGAAATTCTGGATGTACGTATTCTGACGTTTCTTCAATAGTACCAAGAAACCATGCATGCCCTGGCAGGGCGAGATATTCAAATTGAACTCAATTTACATCGCTGTTTCTGCTTTGCCTTTCAACACATTGCAGTGTTCTTTATTTCGTATTCTGTCTTCGACGTGTTACGTAGTGCTTTGCTTCAAAACAATCAACTGAACATATATTCGGGCCTTTTCTACCCAAAACTACATTATCTGTCCATTGCAGTGTAGATATTTTGCTTCTTCTGATTTTCAGTTTGTTAACATCAAAAGGTTAAATAAAAAATTGATATGTATTAAATACTTTATTTCAGAAGAAAGGTTCTTCTCCCAGTAAATCCAGCCTATTTCAACAGTTGGGTATGCATTCTATTAAAGTTAAAAAATCACATAATTTTCAAAGAAATATTTCATTTTTTTAGATGGCTGAAGCTTCAACAGCTAGGTACAAGAACAACGCACCGCTCTCTGTTTTTGACGGTGTCCCAGTAACAGCAAAAGATGAACTAAAAATTGTGAGTATAATCTGTCTTGCTATGTCAACTTAAACACTTTCTTCGCGAATAGACATTTTTCATAACCCTCTTTTATTGTGACACCTGTGTTGAATGTGAGCAACAACAATCTCTTGTAAAAGATCCTATGATCTATGTTCAAAATAGCAGAACTGTTTGTCTTTGAATGACTCTGATATATGTAACCATAGATACTTTGAAATAAAACGAAACACGGGTTCGTTACTCCAATCGTCGGTAAAGACTTTTGACCGATTAGAATCATATCTTTCGTTACCAAATCCAGATTACAATTAGATTAGAATCGTAACCAAATCCAATCTTTCAAATCGATGATCCAAATATATATCGTTAATTATATGAACTATGACGTTCTAAAAGAAATAAATTATCAAATTACGATTATTATTGTATGTTCCAACTGAAATGCCTTCTCAGGAAGTTAGCCATGTAAATGTTTAAATAGGTATGAAACAGGGTGGCTTGCTATTAAAATAATAAGAATTTTGAGAAGAAATGGCAAATGTTTTAATAAATAGTACAATTGCTAGTCAGTTGATAACAAAAAAACTACTTGGATGGGAACAAAAATTTCGTGGATATCGGGAAGGGCCAGTGGCCTTGGCCGTTTGCTTGAAGAAGTTTGTTTGATTCAAAAATTGTCGATCTTTTTACCTGAAACGGAACAATTTCTGTACTGGGTGTATTTTTTTTAGTTACTGGAAATCTTTCTAGATCAGTAATTACAATTTTTGACCCGAAGGTTTTGTTGAAAGTCAATCCTTTGCAGGCTGGTTATAGATGTTACAACGGAGCGTCATTTCTTGGGGAAACCGTAGAGACAGAAGAAACCGAGGCCATGGTGATGAAGAAACTGCGCAATGGTGGTGCAGTGATTATTGGTGTCGCCAACATGCACCAGCTGGGCATGGGAACGACTGGGTGCAATGGAAGCAGGTACAGTGGTACTAAAAGAGCCTTCAGTAGACTGTTGGTTGTTTCTTCTGATGAACGTGCTTTTAGATTTTCTATGCAGATCGCAGCCAGTAAATGTTTAATCAGTTGATAAAGGACCTCAGTCAGGATTCCTTAAGAGGGCGTCGTTTCCTCAGGAAAGGGGCCCATGGACATTGTTAATGCAGTTCTATCGTTACATAAAATTCTTAATGTTTTGGTCCGACATTAGTGTCGTGTAATATAGTGTATAGTGGTTTAATGCAGCGTATGGTAGTTTAGTTGTAGCGTAGTATAGTGTAGTGTAGTGTAGTGTAGAGTAGTGTAGTGTAGTGTAGTGTAGTGTAGTGTAGTGTAGTGTAGTGTAGTGTAGTGTATTGTAGTGTAGTGTAGTGTAGTGAAGTGTAGTGTAGTGTAGTGTAGTGTAGTGTAGTGTAATGTAGTGTAGTGTGGTGTGGTGTAGTGTAGTGTAGTGTAGTGTCGTGTTGTGTCGTGTCGTGTAGTGTTGTGTAGTGTAGTGTAGCGAAGTGTAGTGTAGTGTGGTGTAGTGTAGTGTCGTGT